GGGCGACCCGGGCCCCTGCTCAGGTGAGTGACCCCTCCAGGGGCTGTGCTTCCCAGGCTGGCCCGGAGGGCTGGGGGGCGGGTCGCTTCCGAGCCCCGGCTCTGAGGGGGGGGCGTTGTGCCCCGCGAGTTGCCGTGGCGACCCTGGCCGGGCTCTGTGGGCGCTCATTGGCCGCCTCGGGCGGGGCTACCGCCCCTCCTCCCCTATGGCGGGGGAATCCCTTAGCGGACTCGCTTCCCGCCCTCCTCTCTTCGCTGCGGAGGGGCCCGGCAAGTGCATGAGCTTCAGGCGAGGTAGGGCGCGGGGCGCCAGGTCAGTGGTGTGGGGTAGTCGGGGAAGGAGGGCTCCCCAGGGCTCTCCTGCCACCCTCGGCCCCGACGAGAGGGTGGGCGATCCTGGCGCCGGCTCCTCTCCCTTCCCAGGCGTCGGGGTTGCTCTGGGAAGCCAGGGGATGGGGGTGAGAGAAATGATTGCACCCCCTCGTCTTTCGCTGCAGGCGGGGCCCCCAGAAGCAGCAGCGAGGCTGAGATCGTCCGCGCGTCCCCCCCTTCTGGAGGTCCCGGGCAGCGGGGCCACTGGGCACCATTTCAGCGCCCACGGAAGGCCCCATCCTTCATCGGGGGAGGGCTCCGGCAGGGGTTTGATCTCTGGCCGCCCGAGCTTTTGTTCTCTTTGGACGGTCTGATGAATGGGCCGGGGCAGGGGCCCCTTCTTTTCCGGGGGGCCTTGTCCCTTTGCCAGCGGGGACTCCCAGAGGCTGAGGAGTTAGCCCGAGCAGGGTCTTCCTCCGAGCCTTGGAAGATTCACCCCGCCGAGTGGGCAGGATAATGGGCTTTTAATTTGCGAGCACGGGGGCTCCGGGAGAGCATTCTCAGGGCAGGTGCTCAATGGAAGTTCCGAAAGGAGAGGGGGGCGATTGGAACGAGGCTCTCCGGGGCCTGCTGGGGTTTGTCGCTTCTTGCGGCACCCGACCCCTCCTCCCTTTTCTTCCAGCCCCCGGGGTGTATGTGTTGGGGGGTGGGGGGCTCAGGCTTTCTTCTCGTTCCTCTTTCTGAACGGAAACAAGACAAGGAAAGTCATTCCCCATCCCAGAACTTCCAAACCCTGTGGTTTCTGTGGAGAGCGCTGGATTCGGAGTGGGGGACCTTATCATTAAGTTGCTGCAGCTCTCCGGGCCTCTCTTTCCTTATCTGTAAAATGAGAGCTTGCAAGAGATCCCTAGAGCTGGAAGAAACCTCAGAGGCTGTCTTCACCAAGTCCCCTCATGTTACAGATGAGGAGACTGAAGCCCGAAAAGGTTGAGAGATCTGCCCAGGGTCACACAGGTAGTAAGCATCTTGGGCACTTTGCGCCGCCCCCCGGATCCCTTCCAGCCTCTCATGCCTGGGTCCTGCCTGACTCCTGAGTGGTAGCGGGGCAGCTCTGGGGCATTAGGGGAGAACAAGTCCCGCTGTCTGGTGAGGTGGACACAGGTGGTCACCTGTAGCCCTCAGTAATATACACTCTTCTTCACTCCACTCCAGGTGGCTTTAGCCCATTCAATGGCATCGTTTAAGGAGAATTCTCTGCTTTTGCTTTGGCCTAGATCAGAACCACCATTAAAGCCGTAGCCTGCAGGGACAGTTTCATTTTTCATCTCTGAAGCCCCATGCCCTTGCAGTGAAGGTATTTGATAAACGTTTGTTGAATTGAATTGACTTGGGTATCCTCTTCTCCTGGCTTTTGCTCTTATTTCTTCTGCTGGAACTGCTCCCTTGCTCCCCCTTCCCCTCCCCCAGTCTCTGCCCATCAAAAGCCCACTGTCTTTCAAGGGTCAGTAAAAAGGCTGCCTTTGTGAAGCCTTTCCCAGTCTGTGGATCTCTTTCTCCGCTCCCTCCCTCCCCTCCACCCTCCAGTTCCTCTGTGACTTGTTTCTATCACTCAGTGTAATTTGGGTATGGGGGCCTGGGGCCTATTCATTTCCCTGTCTCTACTGCACCTTGCATGGGGCCCTTGTTTTTCCAATGTTTGTGGAAGGAATTGACCTGATGGATTTTGCCTTTTCCAGATTTGAGAAGTTGACTTCTCAGATTCGGAAGTTGACTGGGAGAGCCAGCCAATAAACATTTATGAAGCACCTCCTAAGGGCCAGGCACTGTGCTCAGTGCTGGGGATACAAAGGATGGCAAAAGACAGCCCCAGACAACATATAAACAACTACGTAGACACAAGATACATACAGGATAAAATAATCAACAGAGGGACAGCTCTACACATTAATGGGGAATCAAGAAAGGCTTCTTGTAGAAGATTGGATTTTAGCTGAGACTTGAAGGAAGAGGCTGAGGAGGGAGAGAATTCTAGGCATGGGGGACGGCCAGTGAAAATACTTGGATTAGGAGATGCAGTATGAATGGAGTGAATTGCATTCCAAGTAAAATAGGTCTGTGATCTTTCTAACAGAGTCTGCTTGGGGCCAACACAATTTTTCTCCTTGAGAAGCTCAGAGCTTTTCAGATAGTGTCCCTAGACGACCAGCAGTAGTTGGATTTCTTGGTTTCATGTTTAGAGCAGATACAACAGAAGGGAATTTGATTTGGACTTACAGCCAAGCAGAAGTTCAGACTACAACTCAGGAGTCTCATTTGTCCATCTATCCAAGGCCACTGCACCTCAGCCCCTAACCCAGCCTGCAGCAGCACATACAAAGGTCAGATCAGGAAAATGCCTTACATTAAACAAAGGCCAGGACTCAGTTCTGGTAAAAGCCTGAGGCTGAGAGCCTGCAGTAATCCTAGTCTCCAAAATCACAAAGGCCAAGTTAAACATGAATTCATATACCAAAAACAAGATCTAAAAGATTTCCTTTCAGGTCTAAAAGGAACAAGTTTTAAGTTAGGAAATGAAACACTTCCTTAAAAGTCTCAGTGGGGAATAAGCTTTAAAGAATTGCATCAGCCATCAGAGACTGTACAGATGTAAGCAGATCCACAAGGGGTTATTAAGGGAAGTTAATTCAATAAACATTTCTTGAGTACCTACTTTTGTCAAAGAGTATCTTTTGGTTACAGTTTCAACCTTCTCAAGTCAACAACCATAATGTTTAGAGCTTGCAGCTCCAAGTTAGGCTCTCAGTGTAGCAGGGGTGGGGAACCTGTGGCCTGGAGGCCACACGTGGCCCTCTTGGTCCTCAGGTGAGGCCCTTTGACTGAATCTAAATTTCACAGAACAAACCATGACAAAAATTGAACATAACGGGAACAAAACAAAGATAAAAAACAAAATAAAAGGATTTGTTCCCCATCCCTGGTGTAGAGAATAGGCTGACAGACCCAACAGTGCATTTCTCATGATTTTCTGCATTTCTTTGGAGTATCCTTCATGGCACTGAGGGAATTTTTTATAAGCCAGTGAGCCCAGCTGCCTTCTTTGCTCATAAAGCTCTCTTCTCTCTGCAGGGCTGAGGGCCATTTGGGCCTCGAGATGTCCCGGAGACTCGGTTGGCTTGCCCTCTACAGTCTGTCAGTGACACTCTTCACGTGTCTCCTCTTTTTGAAGAGGGAGGCCAAGCCAGCACAGCAGGTGGGGGGCCCTGTGGTGAGGCATCCCTTCTGGGCGCCTGCAGTGTCCCATCGAAGCCTGTGTCTGCCCAACTCTGAAGCCACCAATGCATCCACAGTCCTGCCTGTCCGTCACTGTCTCTTCCTGACCTATAAGCACTGCCGGAACTTCTCTACCCTATTACAGCCCACAGGCTGCCCTGCTGCCACCTTCCTCCTGCTGGCAATTAAATCATTGCCTGCTCACGTGGACCGCCGTGCAGCCATACGCAGCACCTGGGGCCGGGTCAGTGCCCTGCGTGGGGGGCAGCAGCTAAAACTGGTATTTCTCTTGGGAGTAGGGGGAACTTCCCCACCCCCTCAGTTGCTGGTTTACGAGAGTCAGGAGTTTGATGACATTTTACAGTGGAACTTTACTGAAGACTTTTTCAACTTGACTCTGAAGGAGCTTCATCTCCAAAGGTGGCTGGCCACCAGCTGTCCACAGGCCCAGTTTGTCCTCAAAGGGGATGATGACGTCTTTGTCCATGTGCCCAATGTCCTAGAGTTCCTGGAAGGGCAAGACGCCACCCAGGATCTCTTCGTCGGGGATGTGATCAGTGAAGCCCTTCCTAACAGGAACACTAGGGTTAAGTACTTCATCCCCCCCTCCATGTACCATGCTCCACATTACCCACCCTATGCTGGAGGTGGGGGGTATGTGATGTCCCAGGCAACAGTTCGAGGGCTCCAGGCTGCAGTGGAGGAGGTGGACTTATTTCCCATTGATGACGTTTTTGTGGGGATGTGCTTGAAGAAACTGGGAGTAAAGCCAACCCACCATGCAGGATTCAAGACCTTTGGGATTCAACGACCCCTGGACCCCCTAGACCCATGTTTGTACAAGGGGCTGCTGCTGGTGCACCGTCTCAGCCCCCTGGAGATGTGGACTACGTGGGCTCTGGTGAAGGATGAGGGCCTTCGGTGTGCTGCCCTCCCTGCTCAGGCCCAACAGCCTGGCTGAGGGAATGTCTGAGAGGTCCACACTGGTAGTGTTCAGAGGCAAGTAGGGGACTTTGCTATTGGTTACTTCCTATAAAGGCTAAGAAAACAGAGCTCTTAAACTAATGTAGCTTGATGGAAAATTATGTCCTAAACTGTAGCCCCACAGATTAACTTTGATTAAAAAAACACACAAAAAGAGCCTGGTTAATGGATGGGAGAGTGTGCAGTGGGGTTGGTAACCCCACTCAACCAAGCTCCATCTCTGCCAAAGTTTTTAAAAGAAATAAGTGGACTCCAGGTAGTGAGTGGCTTTTCTACAGACCTGGGTATGGGATAATCCTGGCTAGCTTCATTCCCTGCAGAAAAACCTCCCTAGTATTTTAAACATACAAGGAAAAGTTCCTCTTTTTTTGGGGGGGGGGAGATACAAAAACAGAAAAGACGAGTAAAAAGACACAAAGCAACACAACGCAAAGAGAATTTCATATAAGTGACTCCTGTTTCACACCGAATACAAACACGTTTCGTGAAGTACCTTCCCCAGATGTGCAGCCAGACCTCCTTGCAGGGGCAGGCCAGGCACTTATCTTAGCCACACTTAGACTAAAAGTAAGACAGGTCAAAGAGGGCATGAACCTTTGAAAAACAAATACTACAAACAGGCCTCTCCCCCACCCCCCATTCACATCCCACAAGGGGGAACCAATGCTTAAATAACCTACATTTGAAAACCTGACTAGGGTTGAAAAGGGAGGCTAACCTACTACTTAAATTAACTGGTTAAGAGGGCTGTGCCCCTTGCCCCCAGGTGACTGAGGGAGCCTGAGCTTCTCTCCAGGAAAAGGCAGCTAGAGGAGCTTGAGCAGGCTGCTGAGGGCAGCTTTCGTGACTGGTAGCTGGGTGGCCATGACAATTCTCATTTCACCACTCAAACTGGGGTGAGGTGCATGGGATCTCTGGATCTCACAGAGCTTGGAACCTGCTGCCTAACTCAGGAATGGGATTACTCTTCGCTAGCCCTCCAGCCCAGCTTCCGCTCCTTTCTAATTCTCTTTTCCAAGGCAATCTAGGTAACCATATTCACAGTATTAGTGCCCACAGGAGAGGCCTCCTCAGTCTTCCCGTAAGTAGGCCTCTTCTTCATGGTCTGACAGCACAGATCCCCCGGTGCTTGGGCACTGGGGGGAGACCCCTTCTTCCGGCTTCTCTGGGCGTCTGAGGTGTAGCTCTTCAGTCTGGGCCTCAGCCAACTTGGTCTCAGCTGTCTTGGACAGCTGGCGCACTTCCTGAACTTGAGTCTTCACCAGCTGAACGTGATTTCGAGCTGTAACTGAAGCCTGATCAGCACCTGGAAACAGATCGAGCATCTTAAGTCAGCAGCAGGGAAGATGGAACATGCCAGGTCAGCCCATGAGCAGGTAAGATGAAAACAGGACATAAAAGCATGGGAGCTCCAAACAAGGCCAAAGAGTTTTGTTTAGGAGCGAGGACTACATCCGTGCACTCGGGTTCTTGAGTTCCCCCTGGAACACTTATTCTTCATGCTGCTTGTGGGCGGGGGTGGGGCGGCCAGCTAGGTGCCCAGGACCCCCTGAGCCCCTCCTTACACAGCTATTCTGCATTAACAATCAAGGCACCTCCCTATAAATGAAGACATCAGCATCTTCCTCCAGCCCCTCTGCAAGCATGGTAGAAAACTCCCCCTGAGAACCTCAAGGCTCGGGCAGCTCAGTGGTGCAGTGGACAGAGCGCTGGCCCTGAAGTCAGGAGGACGCAAGTTCCAATCCAGCCTCAGACCAAACACTTGACACTTGCTAGCTGTGTGACCCTGGGCAAGTCACTTAACCCCAACTGCCTTTAAAAAAACAAAAAAACCCCCACCAAACCTCAAGGCTCCTGCCACACTTGTTACTGTCGCCTTCAGGGCTCCCTCTGATGTCAATCTGCAGACTGGCTAAGGTTCACACTCACTTACTGCCTTGTACCATTAAAACAATCATCAACCTGAGCCTTGGTTTTCATACTTGCACAATGGGGATAATAATCCTTGCACAACTATGTTGGGAAGAAAGCTCTTTGTAGATAAAGTACTCTAGGAATGTGAGTTCTTAGCAGCAGTGCGGGTTTATGGGTGAGAAAACAAGCTCTGAGACATTAAGTGACTCCAGGACATGCCTCAGAGGGACAAAGTAAGGCCTTGGAATCCAGTCTGATGCTCTTCCCCTAGGCCATCCTGCCTCTCACAACAAAGTTCTAGTTGTTCCCACAGAAGAATATATAGCCTGGAATGAGCTGTTACCAACTAGTTATGTGATCCAGGGCAAATCCCTTCCCCTCTCTAGGCCTCTGTTTCCTGCTCCATAAGAGAAGAGGGACAGCCTCAGTCATCTCTAAGATCCAGTGTTACATGTGGCAAAGCTCTTCAGACTGCTTGGGCCTGGTCCCTGAGCTAGCTCCTCACATCACCTGGCTCACATCCCAGCTCTACCTTCAGCCGCTCCTCCTAGCAGTATCCACAGAAGGGACATGATGTTCTTCACCAGAACTCAACTCTGAGCTCCTCCATCTCATCCTGCCTGAGACCAAAGGGCCTTGCTTAAACACACTGGGCACACAAGAGCTTCAGAGCTGCTGAAAGCATCTACCTGGGATGGCACTCGGGACCTTGGGCCTTGATTCTGCCACTAACTTACTGTATGACCATCTTTCCTTTTCCTTCTTGGGGTTCTGTACGAACTTGACATTCTATGAATGGTCAGGTGATGCTCTCTCCCTGGCAGGAGACAGCTCTCTGCCACACTCTCAGGCTATTGGGAAGGCTCCGTGCCAGAGGTGAGGCAGCAGCCAGGTTTCCCGTTACACCAACAGGCTCCTGTCACTGCACGCTCAGAGGACAGAGCTGCCAGACTCCAAGCTTCACTGATAATTTGCCTGTCTTTGGCTGAGGAAGGGTGGGGGCGTCTGGGAATCCCCCATGAGTGACTGGCCTTTGCCAGCTGCTGGGCATACCTGACTGGTAGGCTGCTTCTGCTGCCATCTCTGACAGACTGATGGCGGTCATCCAAGTCGTTTCTAGCTTTAAGTACTCTTCCTGTTTTGAAGACATCTGTAATTTAAAGAAAGCATTTCAACCAGGAAGAGCAGAAAGGTCAAAGACAGTAGAAGTGGCTTCCTTAAGAGGAGTGTTTTATTGGGAAGTTAGTGGTGAGGTAACTCAATTTCACAGTTTGTTTCCTGGATGAAATTAAGTGGTGACAACTACTAATTAGTTTGGGGTTGGTTTGTTTTTTACCTCAACCCTGGCTCCTATGATCACCTGCCACACTGCATCTTCCTCTTGAGAATTCATTTTCCCAAGCAAACTTGAGTATTGTCGGTAGAGAGACACTAATGTGTAAACTGCCTGCAAGTAAAGAGATGAGTTGGTTTAAAAGGAAAGGTCTCAACAGGATGGCCAGACTGGAACTGGGTGATTTAAAAAAAAAATTCACTGAGTGTCCAACGAGGGGAAAGCTCTGAGTGAGGCATCTGGGGCACAAAAGCTAAAAATGAAATGGTTCCTGCCTACAAGAAGCTGCCCTTGTGCTGAGGGCCAAGTACTGGAGAGTTTTTTTTAAAGAGGAAGCCAATGGACAGCTTCAATGCCACTGTGACATGGCCTAAGGCAGCACCTACAGAGTTCTCCTAGGTTTAATGCCAAGCAACCAAATCCCATCTTTCTCTAGAGACTTTCATCCTCTTGGTATGTGCAAGAAATAGCTGTGTTCTGGAGTCAATTACAGGGTTTTCCAGGAGCCAATTAATGGCTAATCTAGGCCCTGAGCTTTTCTTCCTCATCCTCATTCCTACTTCCAATCTCTAGACTCCACTGAGATGCTGCTTCACTACAGGAAGGAAACTGCAGAGCTGTCAACATTAATACTTGTTTGCTAACAACACAGGACAACAAAGTCAACACTGATGAACAAAAGAAGACATAAATATCTTTCCATTTTGCAAATCCATGCTAAGTCTTTATCTCACAGATTTCGATGGTTGTAAATAGCCTGGCTGAGGATGAACTTACCCTGGTGTACTCTGTGATGGCTTCAATCAGTGCATATGTGGTTTGTGAGAGAAAGGTGGAGGTGCTGTCCGTCACCATGGAAACCGCCCTTCTCATCAGTGCTTCATTACTAAGAAAGTGGGTCTCTGTCTTCTGAAAAACAAAGTGTCTGCATTTAAGGGCAGGTTTCTGCTCAAACTCTTGCCCAGAAGAGGGCAAAGACAGTACAGACCACGTGCCTTTAAAGACTGGCCTTCAAAGCTGCCACATGGCAGCCCTCCATTCAAAAACCCTAGGACACAAAAAACAAGGTGACTCTCCCTGAATAAGGAAACAGATGATTTTTCTGATAAAAAAAAAATAAACAGTCATAAGTGACAACATTCAAAGTTATTTTATGTGTGCGTATACACACGCGCGCTTCACAGACAATGATACAAAGTTATGGAGACACCACAGAAGCTTCAAGCTAAATTAACTATTTGAGGGAAAATATTTTACTGGGATCTTGGTGCACCAGGCTAAAAAACACCCCTCTCTTGCCACACATGGCAGCATAGGCTTGTCATCCCTGCTACCAGGGAGGCTGAGGTTAAGGCTGGTGACTTCTTGAGGTCAGGAGTTCAGAGTTCACAGTGGACTAAGCCAACCTGGTGACCACACTAAGTCTGGCACCAACATGGTGAGCCCCTGAGAGCTGGTGGGGCGGAGGGGCCTAAGGAGGGGTGAACTAGCCCAGGCTGGAAACAGAGCAGGTCAAAGCTTTGTGCTGACCAGTAGTAGCTCCAGGCCTGTAAGTGGTCACTGCCTCTCCAGCCTGGGCAAGACCGGGGGACCCAGTCCAAACCCCTCCCCCACAACCTCCAAATAATCCCCCCTTCTCACACTGGAGAGAAAGAGAAACAGCCAGCTTTAGTTAAACACTGGTAATAGCCAGACCAGGTTGTAGCTAACTGGGTCTGCCTTCTAGACCGAACAATCACCCTTCTGTGCCTGCTTTGTGTTCCACTTGGCTTTGCCTCATCCTCAACATGTTTCTCCTTTGCTATTTTTAGTGTAACTACTTAGAACTGGCTGATGACAGTAGCCGTGATATGTATCCTGGCCTTTTGGAGGTCAAGCCCCCTGGATGGCACCAGATTTCTCACCAATCTCATGGAACTGAAACATGAAACCCACAGTTTGAGATATAAAAGCTGCTTTACTCTAAGACATGGGTACCATTCTATTCAACAAGTATTGGCGGTATTTCCCACACCCTCTGAACTACTACTCTGGAAAGGGCGGAACAAAGACATGCAGCCCTATCTGCCTTCAATTTTGTTGAGGAAGTACGGCTCAAACACACAAAATACCACAAACTAAGAAAGCACTGCACAGTATAAACAAGGGCTCAAAGGTCACTCAGTATTGATTGTAGTTACTGGGGGAAGGTGCTGTGAAGGGCTTGGCATGATTGGCAGATCTTGGAGGGGCAGAAAGGAGAGCCAGAATCAACTTGGTGTGGTAAGGTGTCAGTGATGAGACAACCCAGGTTAGAAAACGGGGTTCACGTTAGGAAGTACTGAGAGATCAAGCTGGACAGGGCGCAGTATGGAACTGGACGGTAAGAATCTGGACTGAACCGCACAGACGAGAGGGCACCGCTACAGGTTCTCAGGGAGACCAACCAATTGGCCCACAAACATTTATGAAATGCCTACGTGCCAAGCACTGTGCCAGCCACCAGGAAGGGAGAGCCAAAATAAGACTCCTTACCGTCAGAAAGCTTACACTCTATCAGGATGTTATGAGCAGGGTGACAGTGCGAAGAAGGGGAAGGAGCGTGGCTAGGACAACTGGAGGCAAGGACAGCAGCCAGCAAACTTTCTGCAGCAGGTCAGTAACAATACCGGGACACTTGAAAGATTGTTTGAAAACTAAAGGTAACTTACAAGATAATGGAGTATAGCCTGAGAGGTCAAGTACTGAAAACATGCATGTCAGAAACTCTAACATAAAGGTTAGAGCCACTGGAATCATTATAAGCCATTAGAGATTATGACCAAAATACACACGACTAATTTTATCCTGCTTTTTGTGTTAAAAAAACATGTTCAGAGATCTCAAAATGTTTAAGTCAAAACTTGTTGCAAAGGAGGCTCTTCCTCCCCAGGCATGAGACCACAATGCCAGTGCTTCAATACCTGAATTCAACAAACATTTATTGAGCAGCTTTGTTTAAGGTGCTAAAGGCACTCCCAAGTATATCACGGTACCGTACCTGTGCTATAGGAACTGCACATAGGGTTACTCCAAACCCCACTGCCACTGTTTTGTGCCAGGGTCCCACCAAATCTGAGAAACGGCATCTCCTCAACTTTGCTACAGCTGGAACACTCTGCCTGTAAGTCAGAAATGTGAAACACAATGAAGGAGAAGCCCGATCCCAAGAAAACTTGGATAAATCAATCTTCGAAGGGGTTCTTTGAATTATTTTTGGGGGGGAGAAGAAACGCTAGACATTCCTCCTTGCCTACCCTGCCCAAACAATACCAGTCCAGTATGTTCACAGCCACTTAAGTGTCAAACCTGACATTTTACAAGATAGAATAACATGTATTGTAAGCCAGCAATCCCTGGTGGGGTGGGGGGTGGAAAGTAGCCACAGACAAAATCACCAGGAAGAACGGAGGCACCCCAAGGGACTCCAAGTTAGATATACAGCAGCCAGGTCTGAAGTTTTCCTCTCAGAACCCAAAAAGTGAGAGTCAGCAGGGACTGAGGATAGGTGCCAAACCAATGCTCTACAGGGGTTCTCAAGGCTCACTTCAGCATGTGACAACTCCTGTGAACCCTTCCTGTCCTCAAATAGTGAAACTCTTGACAGTCAGAAGACTTTTACTAGCTCTGCAGACTCAACCCCTAAGCCTTGGCTTCCTCATCATTAAAATGGAATGGTAGAAAACTTGCACTACCAACAACACAGGGTTGTTGTGGGAGTGTTTTATAAACCCTAGAGAGCTAAAGAAACTTGAGTTATAGAAGCTGTACAGAACCATTGTGGCAGCATCTCCAAGTGACTCACAAATCTGGCTCTGGCAGCAGGTGATCCAGGAGCTTCAATTAGATCTCACGCCTGCCGGCTGACTGGGACTTGGAGAATTTGCTATTAGCAGTCCGTAATATTCAACGTGATTCTGAAATTAACTGTAACGGTGCCACTGAATGCATGGGATCTACCCACTATTACCCGCTATCCGGGCAGGACTCACATCAGGGGGCTTACAAACAAGCTCCTTTTCATACACGATGAATAAACATGGCGCTTTCCATACATTTTCACAGCAGCCGTGGAAGATGGGTGCTCCATTCATCCCCATTTTACAGATGAGGAAACAGAGGTTTTGCCCAGGGTCACCCCGGAATGGTCGGAGGCAGAAGAGAATCCTGGTTGTCCCGACTCCACCCCCAAAGCCAATTCCACTCACTGCTCCACCAGGGCCTCTTTCTTTGTCGGCAGAGGCTGCCTCTGGGGGTCCAGGTGCCCGGCGGCCCCGAGCCCTACGCGCTCACTGCCTCAAGCCCTCTCCCACAGGCATCACTCCTTCAACGAGCACTTATTAAGCTCCAGCTGGGTGGCCGGGCATTGTGCTATTGCTGGAGATGCAGGCCGTCTCTGCTCTCAAGGAGCTTACACTCTAAGCAAGATGAAAACGGCCCGTACTGAGTCAGGGGTTAGAGGTCAAAAATCTGAACGGGCCCCCTCGGGAGCTCCTAGAAGTGGCGGGCTGGAGGCTGTGCAGACCGGAGGACCCAGGGCCATAGGGCATAGAAGGGGGCTGAGGAAAGAGCCAGGCCTCCGTTTTGGGGGGGTCGGGGCGCCGGTGACGGTTGGTCCCCGCCCTCTTGCGCTCCCCGCGCGACTTGAGTACCTGAAGAATGAGCCGACGCTCCGGAGAACCCAGCTCCTCAGAGCCGCCATTCCACAGCGGACGCCGGACAGCTGTCGCCGGAAGTGGTGCGATCACCAGGTTCCAGCACCTGATAGGACAAGAGGACTTGACTCCGCCTTTAGAGTGACGCGAAGGGGGGGTGGGGCCTCGAAGTCACGCCCTCCCAAGAGGGGAGGAGGAATACAATCCTACGCACGGCTCAGGCCCCACCCCCAGAGAAGTGGAGGGGAGGATCTCTAGAGGCTGGAGACCCCGCCCTTAGGGAGGGGAAGGAGAGGCGCGTGCGACTGTGGGTCTCTCCCTTGGGGGAGGTGCGTAAGGGAGGAGCGCGCGCGGCTGTGGGCCCCGCCCCTAGGGGAAATTGAAGGGGGAGGAGCACCAGCGGCTGTGGGGCCCCACCTCTAGGGAAGGTGGTGGGAGGAGGTACTCTCTCGGCTACGAGCTCCGCCCGCAGGAGTTGAGGAGGTGCTCTCGCTGCCTGGGGGTCCAGTCCGCAGAAGAGGAGGGAGAAGAGCTCGTGCGGTTATGGGCCCCGCCCCCAGGAGCAGTGAGGGGGGGGGAGCTCTCACAGCTGCGGGCCCCGCCTCCAGGAGACGAGAAGCGCTCGCGGCCTAGGCCCCGCCCCAAGGGGCGGTGGAAGGGAAGGAGTTCTCGCGGCTGCGGGCCCCGCCTCCAGGACGGGGGAGAAGAGGAGAAACGCTCGCGGCGTAGGCCCCGCCCCAAGGGGCGGTGGGAGGAGGAGGAGCTCTCGCGGCTGCGGGCCTCGCCCCCCAAGCGCCTAGGAGGGCTAGCTCCCCGCCGGGGAAAGGCAGGGGAGAAGGGAAAAGACCCGGGAGGAGGACGAGGACCGGTTAGAAGCTGAAGGCCGCCTCAAGCAGGGCGGATCGAAGGTCTCCCCCTTTCACGTGGTTCTCCTCGCCCGCGGCCGAAGTTGGAAAGTTTGGGCCGGACGGACGGGCGCTTGGTCCCCGGGGCGGGAGGACTGGTCCAAGCGGCGGTCCGGCCAGGACCATGGTGCCCGGAGCTGTCACTTCAGCACCAGAAAGTAGGTGGTCCAGCCGGCCAGCAGAAGTGCCCCGATGAGCACCGTATAACTGAACAGCAAGAAGGCGAGCAGCTCCCGCAGCGTCCGCAGCACGTGCACCGCCCACGAGGTCCGCATCGCGGCCCCACTCTGCCGGCGCCCCGCCGGCCGGACCTGCCCTGCGGGGAGGGGCGAGACAAAGCGAGCCGAGCTAACTGGAGCCTCCGGGGCCCTCCGTCGGCTATTTCCAGCCCCGGCTCCGGTAGCATTAGCTCCCCACTCTCTGCATATTTAATGTGGTAATGGACGTTAATGGACTGGCCGCCCAGCACAACTGGGAAGAGGCCCGCAGGGCTGGGGCTACAGCTGCTTGGTTCACCCTCTCCCGCCCCCTGCCAGGGAGCAGCGGCCCCACTCCTCTGCCCGGCCCGGCGGGGATGGCTCGCGGGACTCAGCTGCCCAGACACTCGCCTCCCTCGCCCCCACCCACCTGGTCGTCGGAGCCTGGAGTTCGTGGTCAGCCTACAGGCGCTGGAACTTTCCTTCGCAAGAGTTCTCTCCTCGGACTCTCCTGACAGAGCTTCGGCCGAGTGCCACTTCGGCCCACTGGCCGGCCCGTTCGGGTCCGGAGCGGAGCCCAGCCCGAGGGTGAGTGTGCGCTGAGCCCAGGAGCTCGGGCGGAGTGAGCTAGGAGGGGCCTGGGGCTGGAGGGTCCGCCCCCCAGCTCCTCCGCCCGCCAGTGTCAGGGCGCGCCTTTCTGCGTGGGTTAGTCCTGCAGGACGCTCGGGGGCGCGTCCCGCCCATTCTGGCCTTGGTTTTCTAAAACCCAAACCCAACCGGGTGTGGTCCAGGCGGCTCCTTCTATTTATAACGGGCAGCCTCTGACTCCAAGCCCAAGGAACGCGGGGGAGGGTTCCCCACTGCCGGCCAAGGTCACATTGCACTAGGCTGGTAGGTCCCCAAACCAAGGCTGGTGTCCTAAGGGAAAGGTACCTGTTTTTTGTTTGGAAAGAGGAGAGAACACAGGAGGCTTGCAACGATGAGAGATGGAAAATCAACAGATTTGCAGTTGAAAGGGACTTCCGACTTATGTGGAAACTGAGGCCCACAGGTCACATAGTAAATGACAGAGCTGGTTTGGACCCTGGTTCTGACTCCAAATTCAGGGCTCTTTCAGCGCTTTTCAGAGCTTCAGAGACTGGGAGGGAGACAAACTAGTGCAGAGGTCTTAGAAACTAGGGGTTCAGAAAAATACCTATTCTCCATTTCTAGCTGCTCCACCTGTACCCCATGCTGAGAGGGCTATCCCCTAAACCTGACAAAGCTAAGAATTCAAAAGCCTGTGCTGTTTGGGGTGATTTTGTTTGGAACCAGCATATTTTAAAAGTAAAGAATCTTTTTTGACCTTTAAGCAAATGAGCTGGATGGAGAAACAAGGCTTTCTGTTGTCTATCAACCCTTTTCTCAGCATCATCATCCAGGGGGTAAATGGTTCCTTAATGTAATCAGGATCTCTTCTTATCGAATTATTGCCTCAGCAGCAGCCAGGCCAGAAGCAGGAGCACAGCATTATCAAGTTTTTCAGGAAGCCTGTTAGCAGTAATTGCTCCTCTAGAGAGTTGGTCATCCAAAGGGCTTTTCTGTCTGTCCTACAGAAAAAAATAAGCCTGCCTAAGCTTCTAGTAAAGACAACATCATGACATCTGCTCAACCCAGCAAAGTCAACACATGAAAAGATTTTATGAAAACAGCCCCTGAATTGTATCGTTTCAAGGTATTTCACCATGAGTCTTTTACCCTCTTCCAAGTTCCTTCCCCAAGTCTTCCTCCTCTGTCCTGTTCCATACAAATGGAGTAACTCAAGTATAGGAACACTTAGTGACCCAAAGTTCACACCAAAATGTGCTGGAAAGGGTTCATTCCAAATTGCTTTCCCACGCTACCAGCCACTTTGGGTTCCTCTTTTCTCTCCGAACCTGGGAAGAACTTCCAGGGTTGAAACTCCTGCCGCTCACTGGCAAATTGGCAATTAACATGTAATTTATCATCTTAGAGTGATCATAGGGGGTTTACTCCCAGCCACACCTTGAGGGTGTGTCAGAAGGACCTCCACCCAACCACATCTCCCTGCCTCCTAAGGCTGTCAGCTAAAAAAAACAAGGGTTCTGCACTGGCACTCTTTCTTGTCGCCTCTCATCATTCTCAAATTACATTTATCGAGTGTAGCTGTCGGGCACTATGTATATGAAATACACTTAGAGAGTAAAGCAAGATAGCCAGGGTGAGGGGCCGTATTCCAGATGCTCTTCTTCAGTCACTATTTTTGTCTGGACACCGAGATGATTAGAAAGATGAAAGAAGACCTATTTCTTCCCTAGGTGCAACTGTCTGAAGTGCACCACGTGTGTATTTCCTTTGGGTGAAGGGTTAGGCCTTGGTGCCCAGAGTGGGAACAACAGAAGACAGATGTCTGATCAGTGCTTTCTCTGCTTCAATTCAAACAGGGCTGTGATGAGATCTAACTGGGAGACACGGAGCCCTCAAAGCCTCCACAGACTTATTATGAAGGTTTTCCCAAGGGAGCTAAAGGTGCCACTGTTAATCCTTGTACCTTTCACTTCCGCTGCCAGTGTAAGAGCAAGGATCATTCTCTTGTTCTCATTAAAACTATAGTTAATACTTGAATTGAATTCTCTGATATCCTCCAAAGTGGTACAAAGCTAAAACTGTGCCTATGCAGACATCGTCATTAAAGAACTCCCGGTTTAATACAATTGTCTCCTCAACTACACAGAAGGCCAGACAGGATGTAAATAATACACCCTTTCCAAGAAAAAATGAACTAGTCACAGACCTTTTTTCAGTGAAAACACACCCCTTAGAGACAACAGCTGCCCAAGTATTGAATGAACTTACACAAATGAGCATTATATGTAATTACCAGTTGCTTTTTATTTGTACACGAATGAAGCAGCTGCCGTTTCTAATAACTTATTAAAACCTGACTTAACGTGGCTTAGAGCAGAGTTCGATGAAGGGGGTGAACGTTAGCACGTATGGCACAAGTGACTTGCCTATAAACAGGACAACACGTAGTCAAAAGACGTGACCAACCTCTAATTTAAAATCTTACGTGTCAAAAATACTGGGTGAGACCTGGGATCTTAAAATGAACAAGTTTAATTTGATTTTATAACACAGCTGGGGGCTGAGGGACACAAGCAAATCTCCTCAGGAGAATAAAGACAGGATAAAGACTTTTTCTAAAATTAGGATTGTTTAGTTGTTTATTCCAAATCCTAAAAGGACAAAGCAAGAAGACTAAATTAATCCTATCACTATTATTTCACCCTAATCCCCCTACAACATTTCTCAGCCTCACTGTACCAAAGAGTAACTTTTGGTGCCCAGATATTCTGGCACACCAAGTTTTCTCAAGTATCTCCCCTCCTCTTCTAATCAAGGCTTATAACACATGGCGGTCCCGATAAAATGCCACTGCTTTAGGGTCTGCTGTTAGCGCTCAGTAACAGACGATAGACTGGGACAGAGATACTAGCCTTGGCCCCAGCATCACAAGTGAGCAGCAAGGGTGCAAGTCCCCACCACCCTTGCTCCCCTCCCAGAAATGGTAGCCTCTCCAGTAGCCAGCCAGGAACTAAAGGAAGGCGGCGATGCCATCCCATCACCCCTTCTGGGGCTGCAGCTGGGGCTCACACCCCTCAATCCTTCCATATATTGGAAGGGAGACAGGTGGGAGGCAGATCAAAAGTACTCAGGCACACACAAATGCCACTTCTATTCCTGCTCAGTGTGACCACACTGGTCTCATTTCTGAGCTGCCACGACCCAAAAGTCCTTAGCAGGAGTCACTGCAGCAGTTGCAGACTCTGAAACCACCCATGAAGGCAATACCTGGAGGGTCCTGCAAAGTGAAAAGAGGAAGGCAGAGAACCTCCCTGGGCCAGCAGCCTTTGGGCCAACCCTGGCCTGCACACACTTACCCCAGCCATCCTGAGGGGATGCACCTGGTCAGAGCTGAGAGATGGAGAGCAGCACAGGGATGAGGGGATGGAGTCTCCATGTTTATTTCATTCTCACTGGCTCAGAGCTTGAGCCAGCCCAAACCAAACAATACTGAGCCCCCTGATACAATTCCATGGGGCCTCTACTGAGGATCCCAAACCCAGAACATGTGGGTCTTTTGTTTCTTTTACCCAGGCTGATTATCCTGCTATTCTTGCACCTTCTGAGATAGACAGGGACTCTAGAACCCACCGGAGAAAAGCAGATCTGGAAATAAACAGTAATTTCGTAAACTCTGCATCCTCCTGCCATTATTTCATTACTTTTCCCTTTCCTTTAGCAACTGCTTCTGAGAGGCATCTTCCGGAGGTCCTGCCTCTTGCTGCAGCTGGCCACAGATGGCTTGGCATTCTGGACTTAGAAAGGCTTCTCCATCAGAGATTCTATCCAGCTGGTCCCGTTCATTAGTTTAGTGGTAGCAATGACGTACTCTGTACCTCCATCTTCCATCTGAGACAGAAATCTCAGGGCAGCAATTTCCGCATAGGTCACACCTCCCAGGAAAAAAACCAAAGTTACTCTGTTTTCTCCTTGTTGACCTAAAGATCGAGATATTGAGAAATTATTCTCTTAATTGTTAGCATTTCTTATTTCCTCACCCCATACAATTTTACCATTCATATAATAACAGCTCTGTAAACCTTAATGTGAAAAATTATTACTGTTCCAAAAAGAAAGGGAGACACAAGCTGGAACATTTTTCATTAGAAATGGAGGATCCTTGATTTTATCTAACGTGTTTCTCCATCAAATACTTGAAATTCAGAACCTAGGGGTAAGTTACTAGGTCACTTAAAACTCCTGAAGTTAAAAGTAATTAACAGAGATAAAGTACTTAAACTGTGCATTAATAGTCTGCAGATGGGCTTTGGATACCACCTCCTAAGCCCTGAACAGATGCATTACACGAGGCAACCACACAGTCCTTTGACATCTGTGCATAATGGCTTAGAGGCAGGGCACTCTGCTACTCACGCTTCTTTTGCAATCCTGCTGGTAACTGCTGCCGTTCTTCAAAATGGGGGCCTGGAAGCATCTTCAGGACTTCCTCAATACTTCTCCATCCAGGCCGAGCGAGCAGCTGAGCTAACCGGACACTGAGAGGCGCATAGCCACTGTAGACATAGGATATGTCATTGGGATTCTGTTAAACAGTAACACAAAGGAGACACTCAGTACCTACCCAATTAATTCCTGTTTATCTGTATCTATATAATCCAAAACTATTTTTGTATTTGGCTTTGAAATAGCAAAACAAAAACTGATGATACACATGGGAGGGAAGGGGATGGATGGGACAACAGTGAGAAAACAATAAATATTTATTAAGTATGTTTTGGGTGGCACAATAGTCTAGAAATCAGGAAAACTCATCTTCATGAGTTCAAATCCAGCCTCAGATACTTCCTAGCTGTGTGACCCTGGGAATGTCATTAACCCTATTGGCCTCAGTTTCCTCATCTGGAGGATGCTGGAGAAAGAAATGGCAAACCACTCCCGTATCTTGGCCAAGAAAAACCTAAACGAGTTCACGGAGAGTCAGACATGGCAGAAATGGCTGAAAAACGAGAAGTATACTTCACAATTAGTATCTTTCTTTGATCCTCACAACCTGAGGAGGTAGGTGCTATTAGTATCCCCATTTTACTGCTGAGGGAACTGAGGCAGACAGAGTGGAAGTGACTTGTCTAGCTTCACACAGCCAGTAAGTGTCCAAGGCCCTTCAGATTGTGGCTCCTGATAAAGCTAGGACCTCATCAGCTCCTAGCTCAGCAGCTCAGGGCTGACTTGGGCAGTAATGAGAATGAAGCCATGCAGGATCTATTCCTGCAGATGTGAGGACTGGCTTTCCAAGGCCTTGTAAAGGACCTGCAAGTACTGAAGGTGAATCTAGCTGTTAGATGTGGTCCTGAGGCATAAGCCAGATACAAATAACAACATCACAATTTAGCACAGATCAATAAACCAGACAAGGCCAAGGGGAAGGGGCTCCATCACCTGCTCGTTAACATCGTCCATCCAGAGCCGCAAGGTTTTCCGGATTGTGGGGTAATTGTTTCTACCCCCCGCCTGAGGTCTGAGCAGTCCGGCTTGTTCTAGACTGTTTAAGGTCAGCATGTGTTCGTAGCCATATGTCTACAACAAAACGGTGTTTACACTGATACGAGATGAGGAAAGAGGCTGATGCTACTTTATGAAAAGAGTCTTCCCAATAAATCTGGTCAGGTCTGTCTGGTGCCCTGAGCTGAGAACCACCAGAGCAAGACAGCTTAGGAGGGCAACATTCTAGTTTCAAAAATGCCCATGTTATAATACCAAGCTGGCTCATTATCTCTAAAATATGTCTTTAAATTTACTTTTAAAACTATTCCTAAGGGGGTTTGGGGTATCTATTCAAACCAAGTAAAAAAACAGTGACACTTACCAACACAAAAAGGATAGTTTTAAGAGAAGAAAAGCAAAGGCAGCATTTGTCATAAAAGAAACTTGCAAAAAATTCTTAAAATGTCCACTACTCCCTAACATGGAACACACACACACACACACACAAGATACAATTAAGTGGCAATCTTATGTATCCTCTGGGTGCTCCTGAAGTACTCACTGATGACAGTAATATAGTAAAATAGCAGCAGCCTGAGAGAAATATTTATGCTGATTCTAAGATGTCTTCCCAAAACAGACCGACCTGGAGAATTTCTCTTTTGTAATAATCTAACACTTTCTGCTTGAGCCCACTGTTGCACACAGACTGAAGGCAAACCAGCCTTAGGATCTTGATCAATGGATGTTTTTGGGCGATGCAGTCCTCAATGTAATTGTTGACCTGTAAACATAAACAGACATGGTATATGTTGCTATTTTGGGCACCAAAAACTAAAACTGCTTTATTTCTCATTATCATGTATCGCTTTAAGCCCAGGCCCTTCAAAAGCGGGGGGGGGGGGGGGGGGGACGGGACGGACAAAATCACAACGTACTTATTTCATTTACCAGTTATAGCACATTATACAAGCAGTAAAAGCCACCTGTGTGTGGCCAGATAGTGAATCCATTAAGATGCTATATGCCATTTGAAATATCCTATCAGAATAGAAAAATTCCTTAAAGGCTGTCCAGTGTTCCAGGCAGCCACTCCCTGCCTGGTCTACTTCAATCACAGCACAAGGTCATCTTGCTTTAAGCTTTATGGAAACTTGCTTGTAGTATAGTTTAAAAATAAAATAAAATCACATTTTAAAGTATCAATGAAATTTAATACTTGGAGAAATCCTATGGAATGTTCTTTAAAGCAAATTATCATTAACCCAATTCATCTTTCATACTCATCAGAAAATGCTTTGAGTTGAGAATCTGCTTATGTAACTTTCTACCCCTCATGGTGCCCCATACATAGCAGATGCTCAGCTAATAGATGTTGATTGATAAGTCTGGATTTTTATATATTGAGATGATTAAAACCTGTATAAACTTGTACAAGATATGTCTATTTATGGTAATGTACTGGGGCATGTTGAGAGAGTCAAAGCCATCAGAAGAGCTATTTATGGGGCTACAAATAAGTTTCTGAAGGTTAGCTGCAATTAATAACCTCATTCCCATTTCCCGCCTCCAAAGACACTGTATAATACACGTTACCTTATCGGTGTCTATTCCAGACATAAACTCTTGCTCCACTGTTAGCTTATCAAAGAAATCTTCAGAAGCTAAAAAAGTTATAAACAAATTTATAATTTGAAATGAAAACAATGTTTGTTTGCTGTCTACATGGAAAACAAATACACTTTGGGTTCATGATTTTAATTAAGAAAATAAATAACAGAAAGTAAGCAAAGTTAGTTCACTATTATAGTCAAAATAGACTTCTTGAAATTATTCGTCTGAAAGGAAGCTTCTAAGGAAGATGAGAAAATAATCCCAGTACTCCTCAAATATATCTAAATAGAGTAGGGTACAGGTGGGATTCAGGAATAGGGTTCTGGCTTATATTCCTAACTCATCTCTGACACAGGAAATGTAAGTATTTCAGGAGAGGCATCGGGAAATGGGCCACAGAAGGCAGAAAGCTCCAGATGAACAAACAATTAACTCTCCCAGCACTCTCACTGTCCATATTATGATGCACTCTGGTTTTAATGAATTCTTCCTAAACTAACATGAACACAGCCAAATGGGTGTAGTTTTATGATAATGTCAAAGGGATAAGGCCATGCAGCTGGAGAGGGGTTTTCTTGTATCTTTCAAGTCTGTTTTGCACAAAAGTTGTAATTACATGGTCAACACACTGGTCATCACAAAATGTGACACACCCAACCAAGGTTTCATTCCACCACCTTTTGCGGTTGAAGAATTTTATAGATGAATTTATTTGCCATAAATCTCTGTAAGTTCTTTTAATAGCCAACCAATGTTCTGTACTTCATCAATGCGAACGGAAGATTTCAGAAACCACAAAATGACCAAACCCTTTGACTCAGCAGTTGCGCTGCTAGAGCCCTTAAAGACATCATGAAAAGGAAAACTACATCTGACTATACAAAAAACACTCAAGAGCTGCTGGATCTGTAACAACTGGTGGCCAGAGAACAGCTTTGCACATTATGATCTTGTAGTGGACTGCAGTGGGATGGTACCACAGGGAGCAACAAATGTGAAGGATGCAGGAGATGAACTGAAGACCCACACAACCCAAGGCCACAGACATGAACGACGATGACGATGACATGCCTGAAGAAGAGGCAAGCCTCAAGGGAATGGTGCTTTCTATGTAGAGATGGGTTCCAGAGGGAAACCAGGAGGCGTGGCGGGAGGGGGAGGGAGGCTGAGTTAGTCTGATTTTAATTTGTTAAAACGTGCAGCATTGTTCATTTCTACTTGATTAAAGGGTAAAATGCCTCAAGGTGGCCCAGTCTCTAGCTGGCCTCACTGTCAGTTAGCTGGTAAGTGTTGTGAAGGTTGTGTATAAAGAAGAACACCACCACCTCATGCAGCATTCGAGGGCTGGGACAAGTGAGGCTCCGAAGGCACCAGAGGAGCACGTCCTGTCTGGAACCACCACAAGGGGAAGCCCGCCAGAATCAAGAAGCACTGATCCTGTCCACCCAAGGCAGCTACTGGGGATGGCACGGCCCAACACAAGGCTGTGGCCAGAGCCCACTCAGAAGAAAAGGTGGCACAGCATACTCACTGGTAACATCCTTGATCAACTCCGCAATGGAGGTGTGGTTGGCCAGGGACCCTCTTGCGGCCTGCATGTGGGGCAGCTGCGAGACAAACTGCTTAATCTCACCAACCGTCTTTGCATTGTGCCGCTCCTGAAAATGGAGCGGGGGCAGATTACGCGGGGCCAGGGGCTCATTCAGCCTTTTGCTCTCACCTCGGTTCAGGTTCTATGGCCTACAACATGTACAAACGAGGGCAGTAGGTGGAAGGTGAGGGGCCACAGGACAACTACCCAGCCCAAGCCCACCTCAAAACCAACAGAGAAACCACAAAGGCCAAACTAAGCACTCCACAGAGTAGAAGCGTAGGTTTTCTTTTTTGGTGTCATCTTCCTTTCTGAGAGGGAGCACAGCGCACAGGCAGGCAGGAGACAGGCCTTTATTTAAGGCCTGGGGCTGACACTTTTGAGCTTGGCGACGCTGGGCCAGGTCAGCCCTCTCAGCCATAGATCCTCCTCTGCTGAAAGCTCAGCAGCCTGGGGAGTCCTGTTGTATTCTAGCTCCCTGTTTCGTCTGAGCTGGAAGGAACCTTCGAGGCCATCACCTCCCACCCTCTCATCTCACATCTAAGGAAACTAAGTGACTGGCCCAGGACCACTGGGCTTGGTATAAGGTGGCAGGGTATAAGCCCAGGACTTTCTGACCCAGAGTCTCATGCTGTCTCTCTACGTGCCAGACCACCACACCTCTACTAAGCGCAATGGAAGCAATCTGAGTCCTCAGGCAGAGAATTAGGGAAGAAAAACAGGGATCCAAAAGTGAGTTTCTTCTGTCTTAAAATCCACATGAGTTACTAGTAGCTGACTTAGCTTTTTGGCAAACATCTAGTTACGATAAAACTTCATTTTAGCAAAATGCTCAGCAATTGAAAACAAACCCCCAAACCCTGCAGAAATGTTATGCTTAATGCAGAAATTAATCCACACATTAACAGGCAACTCCCAAGACAGATAAAATATGAGAAATATATTTAAAAAATCAACAGACAAGGATGTCTTCTTTGGATATTTTCAAGGTAAAATTATTCATAGCTCATCATTTTACTGAATTGTCAGGTTTAAAAAAATAAATTTAACCAAGCATAAGCTAGATGAATGGGCAAGTGGAGGCAAGAAGGCGATAATGAAACACCCAAATTAAAATCCTGGGGCCACCAGAGATCTCTGTCTCATTATCACCTGTCATGGAAATTTTCTAAACTTAAGAAGACTTTCCTCACTAATTGAATAAATAGAATCAATAACAGAATACATAGAAATGACAAAGTGGTCTAGATCTGATCTAGGTAGTAAAGTTTGCTCTCCCCTCAATCAGGACTGAAAGGCAGAAAGGAGGGACAGGACACCCTGGCGCTACAAGCACTGTCCCAAGAATTGAGACTGGGAAAGCTTCTCCTTCTCCCAGGCTCTAACGAGACTGCTCAGAGGCCAGAGCCCCCGGAATGGGCAGCCCCTTCAGGCTCCAGCTTGCGCTGCAGAGTGCACAGGGGACGCCCCGGGGCCTCACCTCAAATGCCGCTGAGATGATTTTGGCTTTCTTGCTCAGAACCGAGCCCACAGCATTGAAGTTTTTGTCCCTGATCTCAGCATAGAGCTCCTCTGCAGAATTGAGCTGAAGCTTCTTGGCTTCCGTGGGCAGCTCCTTCCCACTCTCCCCCTGTTTCTTAGGAGCAAACTTCTCTGGAGGTAGTTTCACATAACCTAGACAGATGAAGGGAAGATTCCTGTGCAGAATCATCTGAAGAGCCCATACGAAACCACCAGACACAGCAGAACTTCCCCACCCCAAAGGCCACAGGACATGCTTGTAAATAAACTTCAGAGAACACTTAGCGTCTCCTGGGAAAGCAAGTTATGGAACATAATCACCTCTTCCTTAAAGGGCTTACGGGCGATCTTACCAATAGGGACCGGACTTTCCTTGGTGCTTCTGCAGCTCTGGACATGAGCACCTCACATCTAGAGGCTTTCCACCCCTAGCCTCCCTCACACTCCTCGCAGGCCCACAGAGGTCTCCGTCGGCTGGCTCTCCCCTAAGCTCTCTGGTCATTCTCTCTTGGTCCCCTTGGTGGAACCGTCCTCCATTTCCCACCTGCTAAGCACAAGTCTCCCCAAGGCTCTGTGCTGAGCATTCTCTTCCTTGGGAGCTCGACCACTGATTCCTCTGTGCTCAGTATCACCTCTATGAAGGTAAATGAAGTCTACGCATCGAGTCCTTTCTTCTGGACTCGGTCCCACACCGCCAAATGTCTGCTAGACACCACCACTGAATGTCACCAAATGAGATAATAATTGTAAAGTACTTCCTTAGCACAGTGCCTGGCACACAGTAAGCGCTATATAAATGCTAGCAAAAGCAATTTTACAATTACACATTTTGAAAGCCAAAACATTCTGAATAACAAAAAGTTATTCTATATACTCTTGTATATTCTATGTAGTGTATTCTTTATATAGTACATATATAATATACAGTGTATTCCATATACTCTTGCTAGACAGATTTCCTTTTAGTATTTCCATCACACCGCTCCTCTGCTTAAAAACACCCAATGGCTCCCAAAGGCCCAAGACCTCAAATCTAAACAACTCTGCCCAACCTCTGGGCCACTCACTGTATCCCCACCCAATCTACCAGACTTATTTCCCCTAAACATACCCTCTATCCCAGCTGGCTGGGTCCTCTATGGTGAATCTATGCCAAACTACTTAAACAGACCTCCTCTCCCTTGGTTAACTTCCTACCACATTCCTGGCTTGATGACATGTCACTAAATAGATAGCATCTTGGACTGTTTCATGTCTAATTTTCTCTCTCCCTCTCCAGGGCCAGTACAATGACTGACTCTTCCGTCCCTCATACTCCTGCATTTCCTTGGGCACTGCTAATCTTTCACATCCCAAGTCAAAGGTAATGGAAATTTTTCTTTCTTTTTTTTCCCCAAGATGTTTCTTAATTTTAACTTTTATCTACAGAAATGGCCCTTTGGTATGATTACATCTTCAAATATCATGCATGCCATACTTTGAGACCATTGCTGAGGGCAGCTAGGTGGGTCAGTGAATAGAGCACTGGCCCTGGAGTCAGGAGGACCTGAGTTCAAATCTGGTCTCAGACCAGACACTTGACACTTACTAGCTGTGTGACCCTGGGCAAGTCATTTAACCCCAACTGCCTTGCCAAAAAACAGAAAATTTAAAAAAAGAGAGCACTGCTGTAACTGCATCTTGGGGTAGCATTGTTTCTCAGACTTCCTGGCAATAAAAGATGAGGCTCTACTTACTATTTTGAATGCCATAAATTTCATCAATGAGTCCTTCATATGTAAGCTGAGTGGCCAGAGGAGTTAACAAGTCTACATTCCGGTCAAGCAGCAGGAGAGTATCAAAAACAGGAAATATCGAATTCTGGCTTCCAGTGAACTCCCTCTTCATTCTGATCATCATATTGGCCACTTGCTGAAAAGAAACCAGTGGAGAAGATGGGGTCTCAGTGGAAGCTACAAATATTTAAAATGAGGCTATAAACTGAGACAGTCAAAGGATAAAGAGAAGACAGAGAAGAGACTGACAAGCAGAAATCCAGAGCAGAATTTCATTACAGTAACCTGTCCCTGAATGCATGGATTGTTGTATCAAAGACAGATCTTAGTAAAGCGGCCACAGGGGGGAAGACTGGACTAGACAACCCACAAGGTCCCCCTTTCAACTCTAAGAGTTTGTGAGACTTTGGCCTAAACAAATACAGAAAAAGGCTCCTCCCCCCAGCTGCCAGGGGTAGGTGGTGGGTAAGGGGGTGGGGGTGGGGTGGATGATAGGGGGAATGAATAACTAGTACATAGTTCCCCAATCTTGCCTTGGGGAAAATTACTCAAGGTACTATCAAAAGAACAAAGCAAAACTGAACAGCATCATTTTCTCAAACATGAAAAGCCAATAATCTCTAATCAAATATTTATAGGGAAAGTCATTAGAACTCCCAAAGAGCAGCTTAATGGACTCTGCTGCTCCACTGCGCTGCCCTGCCAGGAGCAAAGGAAGCATATGACAGTCAGTTACCCTCGCACACTCCCCCTTCCCGAAGATCTGGGGGATGGTTCCATACAAGGCTTGCAAAGTCATTAGTCCTTTTGCTGCGTGGTACAGACTTGTCTGGTCATTCTCCAAATAACACTCCTAGAGCAAAGGAATAAGGAAGTTAACTAGGCAGGCAATACTTGGCCTTTACTACCTTCCACCTCTCAGGGGCCAGTGCCGGGGTGGGGAAGCTATGACCTTGAGGCCACCTGTGGCCCTCTAGGTCCTCAAGAGGGGATCTGTCAAAGGGCCGGACTTGAGGACCTAGAGGGGCCACAGCTTCCCCACCCCTGTGCCAAGACTACTCAACAGAAGGATACAGATGTTTTTTCCAAGCTCATTCTCCAGTTACCAAAGACCAAAATGTACTACTCACACTTTAAGAAATCCTTTCTGTCACCAACAAACAGAAACTTCTTTTGTAGGGAAAATGAACAAAGTTTATTTCATGCTTTTCCAAGGGAATTCAAGTAGTCAATTCATTTAAACAAAGGCATTTCAGGTCACGAGGCCAACTGTAAGAGGAGCTCAAAGTCCTCTCCCTAATTGTGGGAGTGATTTTTCTAAGGCAAAATTTGGGTTATTAGTCAGAAAGCTCTCATTGATGTCTTATTTTTTTGTTGTTACCATATCAGCCTCCTAGTAATGAATTAAACTGAGTAAAATTGTGAAAATAATGATAAAGTGTTTCATGGAGGACCATTACTCTATGTTCTCTCCCTAGCCCGCTAATCAGAACTCTCACCTCCCCATCCCAGTTCATCCCTGCTGTGACTGAATAGCAAAGCCTGGGAAAAATGGAACAGAAGGTGTAAGGAATTAAGGAGACAGACACTTGACAACTCTCATCCAGGCTACTTCCAGGGATGGGATGGTAGGAAGAGAATAGGCTGTGCTCCTGGAAGATGCCACCAGGCCTCCAGAGGCCCTTTGGCGAGATAAAGAATAATCCTCCCCACTCCAGGCAAAAAAGAAAAAAAAGACCAGCAGCCCTAAGGAGCACAGGAGACTGGTTAATTTGACCATTTTTTGAAATACAGCAGACCAAAGTTCAGAAGGTAATAAAAACACAGGTCCCTGGGAAGCCACAAGGAACTGAGATGAAAGAAAATTCAGGGAAAAAAATTTTAAAAGCATTTTCTAATATTCCAAAGTGATTATCTTGTCCTATCATAATCTCTTTTCCAAAGAAAGATTTAAAAATCAATAATATCTTTAATACCAGACTTTCTTTTTTGAGCAATAATTGATAATTAACTTGAAGATTAATTAATTAATAATTAATAAATATGTCAACTCCATAGGAAGGGTTTACCCAGCCATTATATTTGAAATTAAAGCTGGGCTTATAGCTTTCAGTTCTCACTGGGTAAAAATCCATTATTTCTAAAACTCATCAAACGTGTAATTTACACATCAACCCACAAAGGGATAGGGCTTCAAATTCTAAGTGGAAACAGGTCTGTTTTCCAAAAGAAAAGAGCAAGTCAGGTCTCTTGACAGATACTGTCATGCCATAACAAGTTGGGTTTTTTCCCTCCACAACTACTGAATCACCTCTAGGATGCCAACTGGACAGAATGGGGAAATAAATAAAGCTTCACAATTACCGAATAAGATTTCGTGAAACAGTTCAGTTCAGAGTACAATAAAGATTTCAGGTACTTATTGGTCATAACGGGCTTTGTGAGAGAAATCATCATTATTAGCCTATTTTAGAGATGAGCACACAATGAAAAAGAAACACTGATTTTCTCTTAGGAGTTGAGGGGGCAGCTAGGTGGCACAGTGGATAGAGCACTGGCCCTGAATTCAGAAGGATGTGAGTTCAAATACGGCCTCAGACACATAACACTTACTAGCTGTGTGACCCTGGGCAAGTCACTTAACCCCATTGCCCAGCCAAAAAAACAACAACAAAAAAAAAAGTTGAAAAAAAAAAGGAGTTGAAAAAGGAGTAAAACCCAGGACTCTTTCCAACCTTCTGTCTTTGTCTTAAACTCCCAAGCCCTGGGGTCTCTGAAGTCACTTTAAGTGATCGACACTGTAACCTGACACTGTCTCCTATTCCTGGTCTGTCATTATGCATTTTAGGCTCTTAAGAGCTAGCTCAACATAATGGCAGAATTCAAAACTGACTGTTTTAAACACGTACATGTGACACAGCCACAAATCAGCCTTTGTATGGGAAGTGAAAGCTTCTCACCCCCTAACAGGAAGGACGGGAATTCTCATTTCAGGAGCAGGAACAGTCTTCACTGCTGAAGTCCCACCCTGGTCCTGTCCTCCATTTGAAATCCCAGTGAGCCAGAGTTTAGGGCTCAGGCCTTTGGAGCCAAGATGAGGTAGAGTCTGTGATGCTGCCTAGGCCCTCAGCTGACTGAGCTAGCCCAAATACATACATGACATACCATCGGGGGCACCAACTTCCACTTGGGTGCAGATTTCAACATTCGGACCAGCACCCTCACTTCCCTTCCCCCACTATGCCAACACCCCAATGGAACAAACTGCATCAATTTATTTGTGGCAGACATAAGCCCACTAAAACTGCCTTGCCATAAGCAAAGCTTTCAACTTGTTACAGCCCTGAGGGGGCCTGAGTCCTAATCCCATATGCAGATATTAAATAATCAATGTGCAGTTTGCATGTCTACACCTGATTCTGTCAGGAGAGAAAGTCACCTCACCAACTTCTCCAAGGGGTCATACTTTTCCAAGTGACAAAGATTTCATGTACTCTATCTGCTGGGCTTCTTCAGTTCTCAGCTAACAGCTGGGCTCTGGGGCACGGCCCAGACTGTAGCCCTGCCATCTGGCCTTCGCTGAGCATTCCTGTCCTTTCCTTTCCTCCAGCAGCTATTCTTATGACCTTCTCTTTGGACCCTCTTTGCTCTATTGGAACTTCTACTACATTTTTTTTGCACCCTGAGGGAAGTTAATAACAGCAGAAAATCTCTCTCTTGGAGAAAAAGTGCTAAACAAAACAATAAATAATAACACCTGATTGGTAACAACTTTTCAAGGCATGAGATCAAAGCTGATGCATAAAATAAGAATGTTCCTACTCTTCCCTTAACAGAGCTGCTCCACACGTACTTTGAAGGCACTCTCGGACTCCATGGATAACAAGTCACCATCAAATGGAATGAGGTCGAGGCTGTACTCTTCTCTATGAAGAAAGGATCCCAGAACACCCTGATCCTTCAAGCGCTGCTCACACAGCAAGCTCCGGCGAGGGACAAACAAAATGTGGAAATCTCTTGCAGGGGAGCGTCTATCTTCACTAGAAAGGAACAAAATGTTTCTTATGTTTATAGTCTCAAAGACAAATGGCTAAAGGCATTGGCACTGGAAAAGGAGCACAGGCACATAAAGAGAAATGTGGTCTTGGAGGCAGCTGGGGGCGCCACAGAGCACCTGGCCTGGAGTCAGGAAGACCTGAGTTCAAATTTAGCCTCAAACACTTACTATGTGACCCTGAGCAAGTCAATTAACCCATCCACCTCAGTTTATCAACTGTAAAATGAGGATAACAGTACCTACCTCTCAGGTAGGTGAGAACAAAAAGAGATAATGTTTGTACAGACACACACAGGAGGAGCTTAATAAATGCTTATTCTCTTCCCTTCCCTCTTGGGCTTATCATCCATTCTGAAATCCTCTTTCAAACCCTTTATGTTACACTTTGTGGCATCAAAGTGCTTGATTTAACGTAGCAGGAAATCTGACTTAAGGAAAATAAATAACGCTCTAACTAGACCAAAGCAGCAACACAGAGCGATCCTCAGATTAAAACAGTGAGCAAGCTTCTGAAGGATTCTTTCCTTCTCCGTTCTCCGCCCCTTTTTTCCAGCCGATGACTCCCAACGAGTTAACATTCAAGGGCATTTCAGTGCAATTCAGTCAGTTTGACCAGCGCTGCTCAAGGGCCTATGGTGCACGTGGCCCTGCAAGCTCTGCACCGGCACCAGAAGGACAACATGAAAAGCAGTCCCTGACCTAAAGAGCAGAGGTGTCTTTGTCGCTACTTATTATTATCATTATGATGACGATGCCCCGTGAAAGAGATCGACCCGGTGTCCTAAGGGCTATGGGGAAGCCTCTGTAAATGGGAGCATCTAATTTTAGGTCCAGAAAAGCTTTGCTTCTTTTCTTTTGTGAAACGGAAGCAAAGACTCATTTACTCTAAAGGACAAGACTGGGTTTGGGAAACAAACAGAGCACGTTATCTGGGCAAGCACACTCTGCCTCCGCGGAGCCTGGAAGAAGCCGTTTAAGGTGTTTGGGTCTCAGGCTCCTTGTCTGGACGTTCGCGGAGGGCACCGGGTCGCCATGTCCCTCCCAACTCTAAACCTTGTAATCTGATCTATTAGAGCCTTGGTAGAAGTTCATTTGAGCCAACCCAGATCCATCCATCCTCCTCCTTTCTCCCCTGCCCAACCCTAGTCATCCCAGGACAGCCTGCCTCACACCTTTAAGAGCGACCCCACAGAAGGCCCAATTCTTTTTCCTACTTAATGCCTAGCGGAGGAAGCAGTGGGACAGTGGTCCTAAAGCCCTGGCCAGCCGCCAAGGTCCCTGCCAACTGTAGCTCAGTGGTACTACTTCCCCCATCGAAGGCTTTCCTCCAAGAACCTCTGGATCAGTGCAATGAGGGGGCTGTCCTGGACAACCTCTAAGATCCCACCTCCACCATGCCCCACTCTTCCATCCCGTTGCAGCTCTAATATTCTAAGCATTCTTGGCTCAGTTTTCCTCCTCTAGCTTAACCACCCTTCCACCCTATTCATTTTTCCGTGATAGCCACATCATATCCTGAATGTACTCCATACATCTATGCTCTTCTTCAAAGGTTTGAATATAAGAATTACAGCCGCTATTTTATGTTTATATAAATTTAAGACTTCCCCTTTAGATACCTGAGTACATTTTCAGCAATTATATCCATCAATTCTAGCCTGGGTCTGACAAAAAAAATAATGTTCTTGACATCCGCTGCAGGCAGACGACTTCCTTTAAGTGTGAACATTTTTTCCACTTCATGTTCCTAAGAAAAGACAAAAGTTGTAATTGAAAATGTGTATCTGAAATTGAACATTCAATTCAGCAAACACTTAAAAAGCACTTGCAATGAGCTTAGCACCATATGGGTGTAACTATAAAGGACTGAGAAAAGGGGGCAGTTAGGTGGAGCCATAGTGCACAGAGTGCTGGGCGTAGAGTCATGAAGACTCGTGCCTTAAGACACTGGGCAAGTCACGTCACCCTGTTTGCCTCAGTTTCCTCATCTGTAAAATGAGCTGGAGAAGGAAACTGCAAATCACTCCAGTATCTTTGCCAAGAAGACCCCAAATGGGGTCAGGATGAGTCACACAACAACAACAGTAACAACAAATCATGATATAAAAGACTACAAGTGTGTTATCACAATACAGTATTAGACTGGCAGTCAACTTGATATGCTGGACCTTAGCAACATTAGCTATAGCATCTCCAACAAAGGCCGCTGCCCTTGGGGTACCTTTGGGTACTAATAACAAACACTGAACATTAGGGTCTAAAAGGGATAGAAAGCATGTGCTGTAAGGATGCTCATTATGAAATCTGAAATAAGACCTCAGCCTCTCCTCCTTCAAATCCTGTATTTTATTTACCTTCAATAGTGAATACTGTGCAATCAATCCAAAAGGTCCCGTCAGGTATTCATCCCAAACTATTGCCTGTGAAGAGGATGGAAATTCTCTTACTATAGTTACGATCTGGAATTTCATTCAATTCAATGACCATTCAGTAAGCACTCTACAGGGGCCCAGCACACACCCAGATGCTGGTGATACAAAGACACAAAACCAGAGTTTCTGCCCTCAAGCGTTTCCATTCAATTTTGTGTTTTCATGACACACAAAAAGAAACACAAATACCTGCTTGAAACCATAGATTTAACTTCTCAACAACCACCCAAATTTTTATTGGTTGCAATAACGCACCCTCCCATGGTTCCCACAACAACACATAGATATTATGTGTGGTCACTGCTGCCCTGGCTCCGACCCAATTTAATTGGACTCAATATTTCATAAGCACCTATCATGTGGTGGGTGGTAGATGAAGAGCCAGGGAGACCTGGGTTCAAGAGCTGCCTCTGGCACTCCAGGTGGGTGATCCTGAAAGTTATTTCTCCTCTCAGGGCTCTCGGCAACAGTCTGTGACTACAAGGTGCAAGGAGGCTGCTGCCCTGCACTGGCAGAGAAAGTTTTCTCACGGGGAGTTCCCCAGGCCCTATCTCTACCCTTCAGTCTATGTTAGTAGACACTGCTGGATGTGGGAATACAAAGATAGAAAGGAAAACAGTTCCTGTCTCTGGGGGGGAGTACTTACACAGGTCAGTACAAAATACAGGCCAAATTGGGGGGGGGGAACCCCGCTGGCTAACAAAATGGAGGGACCAAGAAGAGCTTGTGTCTGAGGCAGTGCCTGAGCTCTGGGTCTTGTGTGAATGCAAGGACGGATTCCAAGAGGCATCCGTGGAGAAAGCACACACAGCCAGGTGGGTACGGGGACAATGACCCACAGCCTGCTGGACACCAGGCTGGCCCCCCCAGGTGCTTTTTGCAAACTCAATTCTAGAACAGGATGGAGACCCCCGTAAGAACAGGGGACACACACCCAGAGCTCCGGTAGCACTTGTGGAGAGGAGCACACTCAAGCTCCCTAAGTCTGGCCGAGTCGGCCAGAAGCAATCCTTCTGTCTGTCCATCCATCTGTCCATCCCTCCATCCATTCCCACTCTCCCTCCATCTGTCCATCCATCCATCCATCCCTTCATCCATCTGTCCATCCATCCCTCCATCCAGCTGTCTGTCCATCTGTCCATACATCCCACCCTCCCTCCCTCCGTCTGTCTATCCATCCATCCATCCATCCCACCCTCCCTCCATCCCTCCAGATCTGGCCCCTGAGCATTCTCACTCCCTGAATTTATATGCACAGCGCTTTCCAGAGCCGGAAGCGCTACGATCCCGGGGGGGCTGCCTCTAGAGCCCCGCCCTTGCTGTAATGTTTCCAGGGGGGCAGAGAGGAAGGGTCCAGGAACAAGCCTTTATCCTGCGAAGGCTTCAATAATGGTGCACTAGGCGGCGAGTCGGCCTTTGGCACCCGCTGGCTGCGGGACCCGGCCCGGCCACCTCTTAGTGCCCAGATGACCGGTCAGGGCTGTCGGTCAGAGGCCGAAGGGTGCCGACCAGCTTCGGGGGCAGGGTGCCCTTCCCCGGGAGATCCCCCGCCAATGACATTGGGGTCCGGTGCCTGGGTCCCAGTTGGCTCGTGTCACGAACAGGGGGCGCTCTCGCTCCCGCTGCGTGCCTCAGTTTCCCCCTCCCCGCGGGCCGGGCCTCACCTTGCTGCCCGCGCACTTGTCCAGGAACTCGCGCAGCTCCCTCCGCACCGCCTCGCGCAGCACGTTCAAGTTCACCCGCCCGTAAGACAGGTGCGCCGCCATCTCGTCACTGCCCCAGCCCGGGCAGGTGGGCGCTGCCGCCCCCTCCCTCTTCCTCCCCTCCCCCTCCCCGCGCCCGGCGGCCCACCCCGGCACAGCCCGAGCAGTCAGGTGACCACGCCTCCGCGCGCGTGACCCGCGATAGGCGGAGCCGGAAGCGCCCGGGCCTCACGCGCTCGGCAGCCTCTGAGCATGCGCGCCGGGAGCGCGTAGTCGGCTCCCGGCAGCCTTTTCGTCTTTCGCTCCCGACCTGTTGGAGGGAGAGGGCGAGTCACGTCCGGTACTGATTTCTGCCTCCCCCAGTCGCCTGGGGGTCCTGCCCTTGGAGCTGTTTCTCTACCCCCCTCCCCCCAAGGAAGTCAGGCGCTTTGTGAGCCGGGAAGCGCTACAGGATTCACGTGGCTCGGTGTGACAAGGCCGGGAGCCGGGAAGCCTCAGTTTCCCCCCACTGTAAAGTGGAGATGATGATGGCACCAGGCCCAGGGCACGTGAGGCGCGGGGACGAGACCGTGGGCGTGAAGCCCTCTGCCAGCCTCCGATAAACCCGCGTGTTTGTCGTCCCGGGCAGAACGTGCCATGGGGGGAAGGGGGCCGCAAGGTAACCTGCCCTGCCGGCGGGCTTGAAAGGGTTTGTGCCCTGGGAACGAAGGAGATGGGGGAAGGGCATCGTCCTTCTTAACCGAGCACCCTGTGAAGGAGATGCTTATTGTTATCCCATTTTCGAGTTGAGGACGCCGAGGTAGACAGGTTAAGTGACTTGCCCAGGATCCCACAGCTACGAAGTGTCCAAGCCTAGATTTGAATTCAGGTTTATCCTGAATCCAGCCTCTACGATAGGTTCAGAGTGTAAAATAGGCGGAAGTACTTTAAAACCTTAAAGCATCTTCAGCTTGGAATAGTTCTGGCCCTGCCGTTGTCCCCTGTGTGACTTTGGAAAGAATTACTTCCCATAGGCTTTGGTTTCTCCCTCTCTAAAGCAAGGCACAGGGTGTGGATGGTTGAAATCTTCACATCCAGCAGCCCACTAGATTGAAAAGAATTTACAAAGAAGTATTTACTTTAACATATAAGAGCAAAATACAAAACATGTTCCCCACCTACCTGGGGGAAATAATCTCCCCACTGGGTGTGGGGGGGGGGAGGGGGGAAGTAAGTTCAGAACTTAGTGTCTACATAACTTTGGTCCCATTAATTTCATGTCTGGATGTGACATGATTGGAGGGGAGGGATCTGAGAAGAAGCTGATCTGGGTCTTGGATTATGGATACTAGGATGCAACATCTGTTGGAGAACCCAGGCTCTGGAACATAACTGTAGAGACTCTGGGGCATGTGCTGAATGCATCAGGCCATGAAATTCTGCTTCCTTCCACTGTGACAAACAGAAAGACCCAGGCCTGTTTCTTGGGGCCATGTGGCCTCCTTAGGGGGAGAAGGCCAGTTAGCTTTTTGTCTTTTATAGAATAGTCTCTTCCTGTCTCAGTGAGGGATGGAGTCACCAAAGAGTAGTCCACTGGATTAGACTGAAGCTAGAGTGGTTCTGTTGTATTGTCACATGATGCTGTCACATTTTAAATTTGTGGCAAGCATTTCTTCATAAAGATAAGACTTTGGGAATCAGAAGAGGAGAGTTGGAGATCACGCACAAGATTTGGTAGGATCTGGAAAACTACTTGTGTGACTTTGGGCATGTCATTACAGCTCTCTCTGGTCCTCTGAGTTGGATGAGTGACTTCTAAGCCCTTCTGGCCCTGAATCCTGTGATCTCATGAACACAGGCTTACTGTTAAAAAACAACAACCCTACAAAGCCTAGTTTGAAACTTGTGTTAACAAGAGTGTTCAATACTAGAATCCACTTGTTTAAACAGTTGTTCTTTAAGATAATGGGGTTGTAGATTTAGAGCTAGAAGGGATCTAAAATAAGGCTTTTCCCCACATTTTACAAATGGGGAAGCTGAGGACCAGAGGTTAGATGACTTGCCCAGGTCCTCTAACACTGAATCCAGCATTAGTTCTTCTGTCCGAGATCCTAAATGTAGCTATGCAGAATGACCTACTGTCAGAGACTCAAATGGCAAGCAGAACCATTAAACAAAAATGGATGACCAGAGTTTCTCCAAATCAAAACCATTTCTAACCAGTAATTTTATCATTTTTTTTCAAATATAGAGATAACACTACTTGTTCTAGGAGAACCACTAAGCTCTGGAAACAGACCAATAACTGAGTAGGATTTAAGGCGAGAGGCCCTGGAATAAAAACAAATTAAGATACCCCAAAGTTTAAAAAAATAAACACTTATTGCAACATTTTCATTAAGTTGTAACACTGTATTGGAAGGTAAAAAAAGTAACTGAAGGTAGCAGTTCCCTGTGTAATATGCTGCCGTGCTCTGGTAAAGTGTGGAATCAACGCAAATCAAAAGTCTCATGGGCTAGCAGGGACTAGCAGTTGTTTGTCCTCCCCAGCCCTGGGAATCGAGGCAGCACGCCGGAATCGGAGTGTGGGAAGGGACCTCGTCAGCCGTCCAGTCCAACACATACCCCGAAAGAGCCCCTGCTCCAGCGCCCAGCAAGCAGCTGTCTGGCCTGTGCTTAAGACCTCCGGAGAAGCAGAACTCATCAGCTCCCAGCACAGCTCCATTCCACTTGGGGACAGCACTAATTGTTAGGACACTTTCCCCCCTGAATTCGAGCTTAATTTGACTTCTGCGGCTTCCCATTGCTCCTGGGTCTGTCTTCGGGGGCCAGAAGAAATCGGATCCCTCCTGCACATGACAGCCTTTCAGATGCGTGAAGATTACTATCATATTCTACACACACACACCCCTGCCTCCACACTGAAGAACCCAGTTACTTCAGTCTGCCCTCCTAAGACATGACACGGCCTTTTCCATTCCACTTACCCTCCTTGGACCCTCCCTGGTTCATCAATATCCTTCTGAAACTGTTGTGTCCAGATCTGAAACACACAACTCCACATATGAATTCTGACAAAGGCAGAGTTCAGTGGGCCTCCCACTTCACCACCCCTGGAAATGATGCGCCTCCTAATGCACCGTTTTTGCACTCAAGTTCAAGTCTTTCTATTTATGCCATTTGAATTTTGCCCTACTAGATCCAGCCCAGGGGTGGGGAACTTATGGCTTTGAAGCCGCATGTGACCCAGGTGCTTGAGTGCAGCCCTTTGACTGAATCCAAACTTCACAGAAAACCTTCTATTGAGGGGATTTGTTCTGTGAAGTTTCAATGCAGTCAAAGGGCTGTGCTGGAGGACCTAGAAGGCCACATGTGGCCCCAAGGCTGCAGGTTCCCCACCCTTGCTCTAGAGCCTATCAGGATTCTTTTAGATCTTGTTATCCACTGTTAGCTATCATTCCCAGATTGGTGTCATCTGCATGTTTGATGAACTTTATGCCTTTATCCAAGTCATTGATACAAATAATAAATAATATCGGAACAAGCACAGATTTCTGGAGTATTCTACCCCTAAGTATTAAGTCTGGCCATCCAACCAGTTCTAAATTTATCTGACTATATTACTGTCTCATCTCCCCAAGAATAGTATGAGAAAGTTTGTCAGAAGCTTTGCTAAAATCTAGGTCAGCTGTGTCCATCGTTCCCTTCTGTCTGGTTGTTGTGGTTTGTACTTCGTTCTTGAAGAAGACTGATGACATCAGGAGGGGGATGTCTTGACTTGCTCATGAATTGGATTTAAGTGAGGCAGAGCTGTGCATAATCCTCTGCCTCACTGTCTCCTCCGGAGTCGTTCACAGTGCAGTGGCAAGACAACTAGAAAAGAAAGTGGTTGTTACAAAGAGCCTGCAGGCATGCAGGCCCTGTCAAACTCATCTATTTTCGGCAGGGTTTTCGAATTAGTCCATCAGGAGAATTTAATATAGTTTACCTAGATTTTAGCAAAGCACTTGATGAAATATTACCTACTATCCTTACTATTCTTGTGGAAAAGATGGAGAGGTGTGGACTAGAAGGTAGTCAGATGATTCAGCACTGGGTGAATGAAAGAGATTTCCAGTGTCGCGCCCCAGGGATCTCTCTTTGGCCCTGTGCTATTTTGATGAGTGATTTAGATAAAAGTGTAGGTAGCATTCTCATCAAACTTGCTGATGCCATATATAACTGCGACAGGTGGATGAATAAGAAGCCAAAAGGATCTTGACAGTCTAATATCAGGACTAGATCAAAACGAGATAAAAATTGGGAAGGATAAATGTAGAGTCTTCTCCCTAGGTTCAAAAATTCAACTCACAAGTGCAAGATGGAGGAGGCGTGGCTAAACAGCAGTCTGTGGTAGATTGAAATGTGAACAGTGAGCTTGCTTGTAGCCCCAAAAAGGTATGATGCTGGACTATGTTGAGAGAGTTATCTTTCAGGCAGGAATAAACAAGCTGTGTTGTTTTCAGTTCTGGACCCCAGTGTTTCAGGACATGGATAAACTGGAGAGCATCCAGAGGACCACCAGCATCAACAGGTTATTTGATGCTACAAATAAAAGAATGAAACTGTGGCTACTTTCAGGGTGTTTATGTTCTAACAGAGGATAACTGTGGATAACCGTACAAGTATATATATACAAATAAGTAAGTTAAAAACAAGGTTGTTTGGGAGGGCAGGCACTGGAAGTTGTGGGGATCCAGAAAGGCTGGCCAAAGACGGGGCTTGACCTTTTTCTTTTTTCTTTTTATTTATTGGGGTGGCAATTGGAGTTAAGTGACTTGCCCAGAGTCACACAGCTAGTGAGTGTTACGTGTCTGAGGCTGGATCTGAACTCAGTTCTATCCTGATTCCAGGCCCGCTGCCTCTATCCACTGCACCACCTAGCTGCCCCGTTCTTGAACTGTTTCTTAAAGGAAGAGGATTCCATGAGGAGGAGGAGGTAAGGAGGGAGTGCTTTCCAGGTATGAGGAAAGGGCAGCGATGATTCTGTGAGATCAATTGAAAGCCATGAGCACATTTGGCCTGCAAAAGATCCCTCCTCATTAGAGGCATGATAGCTATTTTGAAGTATTTGAAGTGTGTGTTAGATCCTAGTCTAGTCCTCTGTACCTCTCTTAGTAGATGGAAGACTGTCAAGAATCTGAAGTGTTGAACCTGCACGAATATTAACTTATTGCCAGTACCGAGTGTTCTAGACAAGTGGTGTCAGACTCAGACAGAGGATCCCAGCTGCCTGCCTGAGTATTGACTTAGAAAACCACAAATGATTATCGGTTGTATTTTTATTTATTTTTTAAACCATTTTCCAATTACATTTTAATTATTTCGGGCTGTACTCGAGAGGTTTTGCTGATCATGAGTTTGACACCTCTGCCTTCTGGTTCAGCAGTTTAATTAAAGCTATGAACAAACTATCGCTTTTGTTCAGGCTCACCTGTTAAGGAAGAGCTTCATCTTAGGTCATCCTCCTAGTAATAGCCTCGCAGTATAGACTGAACTTGTGTCCCTGTTAGGTGATTACTTTATGCTATGGAGTTTAGAAACATTTTTTATTGATGTCTTTAGTTTTTCACAGAATAACAGTAACAGGGGGAGAGACAGAGATAGAGAGAAATCAATACAATCTGTCATCAGTACAGTGAAAAAGTAAAACTCATGCTTGTGTGCAACCCCTCAGCGAACGAGTGTCTTCGCTCTTTGAGTCTTGCTTGAGTCTTAGAATTTTGCTATAGTCACTGAATTTTTTTTGTCAATTTACATTGTTGTAGTTATTGTGTGTGGTGTTTTCTTAGTTCTAATTCTGCATCAGCTTATATAGATCTCTCCATGCTTCTCTGTATTCATTACACACGTCACTTCTTACAGTACAGTAATATTCTGTTATATTCAGGAACTACAGTTTAGCCATTCCCCAAAATGGTGGGCATCTACTTTGTTTCCAGTTCTTTACTATCACAAAAAGTGTGTGCTACTGTAAATACTTTGGTATATATGGTATCCTTTGTAGTTTTACTGGTTTCAGCCATGGTTTCACCCATTATCACTTAATAGTGATATGGTGAATAGTGGCCACTTGGTTACAAATAGCCCATGGGATTATAGATGAGAACATTTAAATCCCTCCTTATGATACCTTACATAGAGGTAAGGGAGGAGGACAAGAGAGAAGCATCCTAATCCTTTGCTTCTCTTACCCTCCAACAATTAAGAATGTTTCAAAATCCCAGAACATGGATCTTGAAGTGGAGGTAACAGACTGAACTACCAAAAAACAAGGGAGCGCCAGCGGGCACAGTGGATAGGGCACAAGACCTGGGCTCAGGAAAAACTGAGGTCAAATCCTGCATCAGACATTGACTAGCCATGTGACCTGTGGCACACTGTTTAGCATCTCAGCTTCCCAGGGTGGTTGTGAGGGTCAGATGAGAGAATATTTGTAAAGCACTTTGCAAGCCTTAAAGTGCTCTGTAACTGTTAGTAAGGATGAGGTCAGTGATGGAATTTTTCTTGTGCAAAATGGAAAAGCTAGGAAGTAACCTTGGGAGTTTCCACCTTCCCCAAATCTGTGCACAGATCTAGAGGGCTGCAGCACCCCCATTCCCACCCTCTTCCGGCTATGAGGCCTCAGCTTTACAGAGTGATTGAGACCATGCTACTTGGATCTGAAGTCTTAGGTGTGGTTTTACTTCTTATCCCTTCTTTAGTGTGGGCTGTTGCCTTGTCACATGATGGCTCATTTGGAGAGAACTGTGCCACCAGATGTAGGAATAAAAACGAGCTCTGTACGAGAAATGACATAACAAAGATGGCCAACAAGGAGTTGATATCCAAGATAAAGGGATGGTGAGCACCTGTACCATCCCTGGTTATATTTAAGTCACCTGGCCCAGATGAACTATATCCATGGGCCTAGATAGATCTGATTATTGGGCCACTGTCAGTGATAGCTGAAAGGTTATGTAAAATGAAAGTGGTACAGTAAGATTGGCGATGGGCAAATAAGTGTCCCAGTTTTCAAAAAGGCAGAGAACAAAACCAGTGACTTGGGAAATTGTTGGGAAAATTCTAGAACAGATCATGAAAGAGGGTTGGTGAATATCAACGTTCTCGAAGACTTCAAGAATAAGTCATGCCAAACTAACCTTTCTTGACAGGATTACTAAATTAGTAGATGGGGAAGGGAATGCTATGGATATAGTTTGCTATTATACTTTGGCAAAACTTTTGAAAAGTATCTTATTGCCTTCATATGGAGAAGATATGAACTGGAAGGTTAATACACAAAGCTAGATTCAGAAGTCGTTTGATAGCCAAACTCAAGGAATAATTATTAATTGCTCAATAGTAGCTTTGCAGTACCAACAACATACCCCAGAGATTTATGCTGCTTAATATTTTATCAATGACTTAGATAAATGCATAAATACTATGCTCATCAAATTTGCAGATGAGACGAATCTGGAGGGATAGCTAACCACGGATAACAATCCAAAAGGACCTTGATAGGCTAGAGCATTGGGCTGGATGTAGTAGGACAAAATTCAATTGGCATAAACGTTAAAGACTTTTACTTGAGTACAAAAAGTCAAATGCATAGGCACAAGATGGAGGGTGGGTGAGAAGGAGGCATGGTTGGTCAGCAGTTACACTGAAAAAAGAGTTGGAGGCTTAGTGGAGTACAAGCTGTCCATGAGTCAGTAGTGTGGTGCGGTCTCCAAAAATGCTAATGTGATCTTGGGCTGCATTAAGAAGGGCACCATTTCCAGGGGTGGTGAAGTGTGAGGCCCACTGAACTCTGCCTTTGTCAGACCTCATATGTGGAGTTGTGTGTTTCAGATCTGGATGTGACAGTTTCAGAAGGATACTGATGAACCAGAGAGAGGATACGTGGAATGGAGAAGGGCCGTCAGTGTCTTGTCATAGGAGGATGAAGTAACTTTAGTCTGGAGAAGATTCAGGGGAAGAGGGGTGGGGAGAGAAATGTGATAGTTTAAAGATAACGATCTCATGCAGAAGGCATTAGAATTCTACTGGCCCCAGAGGACAGAACCAGAACAGTGAGTGAAGTTGCAAAAAGGTCAGTTTGCTCTAGATAAGAAAAACTTCCTTACAATTAGTGCTGTCCCAAAGTGCAGCAGGGCTGCCTTGGGAGGTGGTGTTGCTCTTGAGCAGAGGGAAGACAAGGGCCAGAGTAGGGGCTTTTTTGGAGTATGGCTTGGACAAGGCACTGCTGAGCTCCCTTCCCCGTCTCTGGTTCTGGGATTCTAGGATGCCATGTGACTGTGCCTGTCACAAGGCAGGGCAGGTTCTACCATGCTGGAGAGGTTTTCAGTTTGGGACCAGTGATGGAAAGAAGATGCGTCTGTACTCGGAGGAGCACATATGCTGCAAGGTGAAAAATTTTCAGCCACAGCAATTTCCAAAGGTTCTGCTAAGGTATGTGGAACATAGCCACACTGGCCTCATGACTGCTTTTAAAAAAATCTGGTATGACAGGAGCCACACCCACTCCCAGAGTAACCTAGATTTACCACCACCAACAAAAGAATAATCTTTTATTAAAGTAGATACAGAACACTCAAGTTGTCCAACGTTTAATACTGCTTTACATGTTTAGCTTCTTAGAACAATTCCTATTATACACCTGTAACCCAGATTTTCCAATGATTACAGAAGTGGTTTGTTTTTTTCTTTAAAAATATATTCAGTGCCAAATACGCAGTTTATAATCTTGGGGGGAAGAATACATCAAAGTCATATATACAAATGTAGGAGAAACGTAAACCCATATTGTACACATTGAATGGAAGACACAGTATATTTATTTCTTTACATATTCTAAGACATTCAAGAGAAGATAAATAATTTGAACTGTTTCAGAAACTGTTCTGTTGGATGAGGTTTTATATTTCTGCTACAAGAAAATCCAAATTTATTCACGCTGAATTTCCCAACTTACATTCATCTAAAAATATAGTAAACCAGAGAAAGCAGAAGGGGAAGGAGCAGGGAGAAAGACTAAAAATTGGTTAACCTAAATGTTTTATTTCTTATTGAGATTTTGTTTTGTTAAGTAATCGGCTGCTGGGGAAAATGGCGACAGGAGAGAGGGAGGAATGAATTTCTAGAAAAAAAATATAATCCTCCAATGTACAGGTTTTTAAAGGAGCCAAATAAAAACTTTCATAGTTGGAAAGCCATGTGGTACTTTTTCTGGGTTAGGCAGGTATGTTGTAATGAACATAAGAGATTCAATTTTTTTTGCTTTAATAAAGTTAAAAACCTGAAAACAAAACTTCCTGTATGTTTTTTTCCCCAAAAATAGAGATTTTAAAATATATATATATATATATATATATATATATATACACACAATATATAGAAGCCGAGATTATGCAAAAATGAAAAGAAAAAACCAAAATCCCAGGAAAAGTATGCAGCCTCCAGGTCATAAGTTGTCCCCACAGCAACTCTGAGGGGTCCTCACTTCCCTTTACCTGCTTCATGATTTTATAATTACACAACATATCAAGCCTGAAATAAAGGCACTACTGACATCCAGGTAGCGCAGCACATAGAGCTCATAAATTCTTTGATCAAGAAGAAAACATTTTAAATGAGTAGATGAAAATGTAAGATGGAACACTTTTTCAACTCATTCCAGTGTCAAAGCTATTTTTTAAAAAAAATCTAAATGTACAAATGCAGCCTTGAAACTTTTTAGTGCAAATATGAAAATTAACAGCATAATTTTAAATTTTATTTAAATAAGATAACATAAGGATAGTTCTCTGCTCCATGAGGTTTCCCTATGGATAATTAACATAATGGCATCTGGTGCAAATGTCTTATTAAATATCAAACACATAAAGAAGACAAATAAGAGGTGACAAGTCACCTATTTATTATTTCAACTTTAGCTTGAAGAAAGAATAAAAAGGGTTGTTCATGGAAGATCAAAATATTTTTCTTTTAAAGAGTTGAAGGGGTCAAAAAATAATGTGACTGTTCCTGAAGTCTGCACTCACAAATGCTGGTGTTACACTGTCCAAGTGTGCGTGCATCTGAAAAAGATAACATTCCTGGCGTGGGGGGCATCAGAAGGTCTCATCGTCATTACAATTGGTTGCCCAGTGCCCAAACATCTCACAGATCTCACAGTAGGGGCGCTCTTCACTCCGGCTGCCATGGTGTGTGGAATGGGGAGGATCTTCTGACACCTGGGTCTGGGTGGGACAGTCCTCAGTGTCATGGAGGTCAAAGCAGTCACAAATATCACAGAAAAGGCGAGGTTTCTTTTTGAACTGTTTCTCCTGGTCATCACTGCCATTCCAACAGGAATAAAACAAGAAATGTGGCTTTAGCAATATGCATTCAAAAGCCTTTCCCCTTTAAACTATAAGATAGTAATAATGATAATAACAGCCAACATTTATGAAGCACCTCCTGTGTGCCAGGCACTGTGCTAAGTGCTCTACAAAGATTATCTCATCTGATCCTCACAACCACCCTGAGAGGTAGGTGCTATAATTACTTTACAGATGAGGAAACTGAGGCAGAAGCAATTGAATGACTTGCCCAGAGTCAAACAGCTAGTATCTGAGGTCAAATTTGAACTCGGGTCTTCCTGACTCCCAAGCCCAGTACTATGTGTATCATGGTACCACCTTGCTGTGAATAGAACTCTTCTTTTTTTTTTTAATTACAAAATCCTATTATGAGGGACTGTTTTATTACCTGCTTTTAAAGTTGTCTGCTACCCAGAAAATTATTTTCTACCTCTAGAACTTAAACACTTGTGATTTAACAGATTCTAGCTTTGAAAAAAAAATATATATATATATAACTGTCAGTACTCCCCATGTTCATTTTGAAGAACCACTAGAACCAGTCCTTGTAATAAGTCTATATTAGTACTAAATACCTGTCATAGTTATTCAGGTCATTCCCATTGAGAGCAGCTTCTGACATCATTTCTACCTTCATCTTTAAGTCTTGATTTCTCCTCTGAAGATCCACTATTACCGAATTCAGGAAATCAATCTGGTTCATTTGAAAACAAAAGGGAGAAAGAGAATAATATGCACAAGATATCTGGGACTTGTCAAATGCAGGAGCACCAGGGAAACATGGTGACATACTACCACTGAGCGGCAAGAAGCTATACCATAGCTGGAAGGGTCAACATTGGTCATTATCAAACAAATGTCAGATGCATAAGAAGTGAATTGTCCAGCTAAGATCTTAACTTAGGACGACTTAAGGATTTTAAAATTCTGCCTAATAGATTTCTTTCTGCTTCAACTGGGCTATGCTGATTTTTAAAAATGTTAGTCCAATGTTTTACTGGTTATACTTTGATAGCAACAATGTGGGCTACAGCATTTCCCAGCTATTTCATGGAATGAAACAGATTGACTATGTGGCTACTATGGAAAATGACATTTGAGTAGCTGTTCCTTCCAGTAGGAAGAAAGAATTCTCCAATAATCTTGGAATCTTATGACTCTACTTATGCACATATGGCACAAGGTGGCACAAGACTTGACCCTTTTAATTTCCTTTTTAGAGTACCTCAACAAGTGCCCTCACACATATTGGTTTCCATGATAGATCCTCTTCACACTAGTGTTCAGCACCATGTTAATCAGCTGTAAAAGGTGTGTGCATTGTAGGAGTCATAGGTCAAAGAAGTGACAGAAAAATGGGGGGGGGTTAAAACTCCCTTTGGAGTTAGAAAGCCAAATAGATACACTGAGAAGAGGGAATTAAGGCAAAATGCACCATAGCTGACAAGGACCATCATGAAGTAATAATGTGAGAGCATCCACCAATTCCTTCTGAATCGAGGGTTTGCCAAAATAAAATGCGTCACTAGCACCTTTTGTCTCTCCTGCAAATGTTTAATGTCACATAGAATTCTTCCATGCTATTTAGATAAGCCTTGCTGCTAACATGGAATATGGACCAACTCTGGTTGCTCAGGAGCTCATTAGCCAGTCCGTAAATACACTCTTATCCTCCTTGACTTTATCAGCATTTTGTTTTTCCTGTTGACCCATTATGGAGAAAACAACAGATCAATACAATCTATCATTGCAAACTATCCCTCCCAGAGTGAGGAGCAGTCAGGTCCCCTTAGAACACAGCTTCCAACATCCATTTTCATTTCCAATATTTTCAGTTTGCCATTTGGCTAAGAACCTCATGTTGGGTTTATCATGACGGGGAGTTTCTGGGGTGGGGGTAAGTGGAGAATAAAATCATTAAATGGACTTAAGTACAGGGATGGAAACTGCAAATAACCACAGAATAAAAGCTTAGGAAATAGAAACAAACCATTTGCTGAGTGGAAGAAAGTGTGGCCGGCAGCAGGCGAAATAGGCAGAAGCAAAGGGAGGGAGGGGGAGAGAGAGAAAACAATGTTACCAGAGGCAAACTGAGCAAACAAAGGTAATTCTACAGGGAGAATTACAGAAGCCCTACTGAAACATTTGTGCCTCCCTCCCACTGTCCCCATCCTAGTGATTAGCAGGAAGTGAGCAGGTTTCCTTACAGGTAATACTGATAGATGTTGAAAATTTGAAAAGCACTTAACATACATGATATATCACAGATAATTAGCCATAGCAGGTCCCAATTCCATTATAACACTCTAATCCCCTAATTTTTAAATGAAAGAAAGATGTCTGCAGATGTAATTATATTTTAAAATGTAAAACTGCCTACCTATATTAATACTTCATTGCATTTAAAACAATTAAATTTTGTTAATCTTGGCTTTTAGAAAATAAATCAGTTTTTTAAAGAAAAAAAAAGGTTTTACCTGACTCTCTTGAGCTCTTTCTTCCTCTTCAGAATTACCTTAAAAGAAAAAAAGAAAGAGAAAAGAATTTGGAAAAATAATTGCAACTTTTGTGGTCTGTAAAATACAGATGAAGTTTCTATAGTCAATTATGATTAAACCATGAAAATGGACATTATCAAATATTGTGTAGCAATTTTTTAGCTCAAGGTCTAGTGAAGAGACAACAGTATTATTATAACCTTATATAATAAGTGGGAGAGAAAAGTCGATGAGAGAAGTTCCCTGATGAATTTGATGAGAATAACTCTCCTTGAATGGCAGACATTTTTAATCCGATGTCTTAGGCAGTCTGCCAAAGCTCATTTTCAGAATAACGTTTTCAAATATATAAAACAGGGGCAGCTAGGTGGCGCAGTGGACAGAGTACTGGCCCTGGAGTCAGGAGGAGGACCTGAGTACAAATCTGGCCTCAGACACTTGACACTAACTGTGTGACCTTGGGCAAGTCATTTAACCCCATTGCCTAGCCAAAAAAAAAATCATATATATATATATATATATATATATATATATATAATATATATATATGAATATATATATATATATATAAATAAAGAATGTAATAAAAATATAAAAAAACTCTTTGCAGAATTTGAATGCATAAAAGAAAAAGATAGTTATCAAAATGTTTTTTAAAACGAGTTCATGGATTGTAAGAAAAGCCCCTGCTCACAGAAAATGGACACAGCCACTGGCGGGTACTTCATTAAGAGAACAAAGACAACTTTTGATTGGATACCAGTGACTAAGTTGGCTAGAACTCTTAAGAGCGTCTGCACCAGACTACCGCAACTTTCGTCCATCTTTGCTCTTTCCTCCTGTCTTTCAGAAAGAATGCAGGCTAGGGAAGCAAAGGGCATCCCCTTGTCCCTCCTGAGCAGTGAATGAACGGTAGTGCCTTGTGAGGAAAGCCCAGGGTGGAAGTAGACATGTGCTTTCCTCTGGGCCTGGGAGAAGTTCTGAGAGTGGATATTCTCAGCCCAACAGATCACAATAGCCAGGAGGGTTTTCGTCCTGCAGAAACACACGGCTGAAGCAGCCATAGGTACTTGCTATGTAGTCCACAAGAGGAACTCATAAACAATGTTCCTGGCTCCCAACCTCCTCTAGAGGAGGGGGCATCTTTTAACAAAGGAAGGGAGGCTTTTTTGGCAGTGCCAACTTTGGAAATTGCTTCATGAGTAAATCCAAGTTCAAAAGTTCATGCTTCTAGAGAGAGGAGGAGTATTCATGAGCAGTGTCTTTTGGAGAAATAAGATGATTGTGTAGCAATTTTTTAGCTCAAGGTCTAGTGAAGAGACAACAGTATAATATGAGGGAGCAAGAGATCAGGGTCTTACCACCCCCAACTATGATTGAGTCACCTGGATTGTGCAGCTCATATGGGATCTTAAAGTGTGTTTGCTGTGAGGGGAGGGGATAAGCTACAGGATGGCACTACAAGTCTGGAAGAGATTGTGTGCCATATCTTGTGGGAGAAAGGATTTCCCCAGGATGTTGAGGGGTTGCGCCTCTCACCCCACCCCCAGCAACCCCTGTGTTTCCTTCCCTTCCAAGGGATGTTTAGGAACTACAGTAAGTGCTTCACAGCCTTTCTGTCTGTGTCTTCCTGTAAGTCCAGAGCACCTTATACTTCCTGTGGGGTAAAATAAGCTTGGCCTCGACCAGATATGCATTTGTTACCTTGAATGCTAGCATGAGATTAGGGAATCCTGTTACCCATAGGTCAACTAGGTGGGGCAGTGGAGTCAGGAAGACTGAGGTCAAATCTGGCCCCAGGCACTTAAGAGCTGTTTGACCCTGGGCAAGTCACTTAACCCTGTTTGCCTCAGTTTCTTCATCTGTAAAATGGGGATAATAATAGCACCTACCACACAGGGTTGTTATGAGGATGAAATGCTTCTTTCCTTCCTTCCATATTCACAGAAATCTAGACAAGCCTATTTGGAAATTTCCTAGTATAAACCATGGGTGAGGGCAAATGAGCCACAGAGAAAATGACTTCTTCTCTAATGCCCCTTAGATCAGATCAGGTCCACATAAATCCGGAGCATGGAAAGGGCTGGGAAGAAGACAGGGAGGAGATTTAGGAGGGCCCATAAGGGTCTAGCTTCACTTTATTTGATATAAGGATTTGGCAAAGGCATTTTCTCCACTGAGCACTCTGACCATCAGAGTTATTTAGAATACTTAAGACTTTGAGTTTAGCTGTTAAGAAGCAAGCCTATTTGGCTTATCTGGACCCTTCATAATTTAACAGGTGTCGATTAAATCCATCACCCAGCGTTCTTTTCTGTCTGGTCTATTACCAAGTCAAAAAGTCATCCTGGATGGGGACCTCTTAAGTTCACCCTAGTGAAGAAGAGAAAGGAGAAATGGCACGGTAAGAGGTCAAAGTCACAATGAAGTAGATATAAATTATCATTGCCTCTGTCCTGTTATCATGTGCAAACCTGTGTCCACCAAGACAGTGTGACATTCACAGGCAGGGCCAGAAGGCCACAGACCTAGAACTGGAGGGTCCTCAAAGGTCATGGGGCTCAGCACCTTCATTCTAGAGAGGGGAAACCTGGGGCTCAGGGAGGGGAAGGCAGCAAGGGGCAGAGTCAGAATTTGAACCAGGCCTCTGACTCCCAAATACAACACTCTAGAGCACTGTCTCCCTCTCTCCAGTCTGTGCTGAATCTGGAGCATCACTATCTCCTCACTAATAGAGGTTATAAAGCAAAGTAAGGGTGGTCAGTCTTGGGGACTCTGCAGAACCTCTCACTTATTCCCTCGTCTTGTCTGATATAGATCTGTGCTTTGTGTTACACTTGTCCTGTCCCTTCTATTTGACTGAGTTTCTCCTAGAGCAGAGAACGCTCTTTCACATCCAGGCATCGGAGCCATCTCTGACAGAGCTGGGGCACACAGCAAACACATTGCCAAAACGTGGGCTCAATCTGGTGCTGGGAATTCTGCACCTGCCAGGCGCTGGTAAGTGCCGGAGGCATCCGTCTGCGAGCCACTGCTCTAAGCAGCCAGATGGCCATCGTCTTTACCTCCAAAGCCGCTCAGCTGCCTCTGGTTTTCTTTAAGTTTTAGCTCTAGGTTCTTCACCTTCAGCTCCAGCTTCACCTTGTCCGATTCTAATGACTGAACAACTGAATGTAGAGACTTGGCAGAAGCATTTTCTCCCCGGAGCACTGTGACCTGGAATAGATGTGATTTATAAATACTCAGGCTTTGAATTTTAGTCAATGAGCATGGCATGAAGACTCATCTCTAGATTGTACTGCACCTCATTTCTGAGTTTTTCCAGTTCTGCGTCCTTCTCTGTGAGCAAGGCACTAGTAATACTGATGGATTTCTGTAAGGAAGCTCTCTCTTCATCAGTGTCTGTTTTGTACACGGATTCTCTAAAAGACCAAAGAGAGTTAAAGAGTTCCAGAAATCAACCGAGAGTCATCAACATACACAGCCAAGCGTGTATGTATCTGTGTTAAAACACAAATGCAAAAACTAACGTTGCCAAATTTAAGTTAATTTCTAAGACTACTGAAACAATTTAGAAGAGGAGATTTGTAAGGATATCAAAACTATCAGACTGCAAAAGCAGTTGGGGATTTTACTCAGTGCAGAAAGAAAAAACAACAGAAAAGTTTACCTATGCATATACATGCCAGAATCTGCATATCATCGCATCCATTTGAATTTAAGGAAAAATGTTCATTGGTTTGGAAGGTGTAGACTCAGAAACTGTGTCAAATAAAACAATTCACCAAAATCTAATTTTCAAATTGAATTTTGTTACTTCTTGGAATAATTTTCACTTGAGCAACAAAAAACACATGCAAAGCTTAATTATACAGTTGTCATGCAAAGCGCTGATTATGCTGGAAGTATCTTCTGGTCCTCACTAATTTAAGTTTGCTTATTAAGAAATTTGCACCCACATGTTTTAAGAGGCAAATTATACTAAAGTAATAATAGCAACATTAGATACTACTGCCTGTGCACCAAGAAAAATTTAGATCATTGCTGAGGAACTGCAAAATCTAAAAGGGATATTAAACATTACTGTATAAAGGCCAGAGGAAGTCACAACTATTTATTAAGTGGGGAATGATGATGGAGAAGAGACTGATGAGTCACAGAGCACTTGAATTGCAATTTTAGGTCAGTGACTGACTCAAGATCTTTGACCCTGTAAAAGTATCTTTTGGGCATTTTCTTATCCATGTAGAAATATTAGAGATAGCTATTTGAACCCTTTAATGGCAGGAAAGCCTTCAGCTCATAGCCAAGGGACCCGAAGAACAAAGAGACAGAAAAAGACCTGGACTGAGGAAATTACAAAATTGAAGGAGGCAAAGGTGAAAATGTGAAAGCAAAGACAATCCAGAAAGAGGTTAGTATGAAGGGTAAAAAATGAATTGTCCATGGGAATGAAGGGAACAGGCTGCTATTATCAAAAATAGTACTCTGGGGGGTGGGGGGTAAGGGAGAGAAAAAAGTCTACCCAGGTATGGTACTTTCTTAACTGTCCTACAACCTTTAATCTAAATGGCCGGGTTTTTGTTTTTTGTTTTTTTTACCAAGATGTAATCATCTGAAGCACCATCAGCCAAAGGTGAACGGGCCAGGACTCAGCACTGGATACGTCCTTCTCATGACCAGCTAGAGAATGGAAAAGCTAGCAGGCCCAGGTTAAGAAACCCTATTCTTCATACGTGTCAATTTAGTGAGACCCATGATATCCAGCACGTGAATTACAATGGTATAATGACTCAGGGTAAATTGAAAACCCAAGCAAAGATGAAAATATAAGTGCTGTCTTTATCGCATTGTTCAGCTTACACTTATACTCCGGAATGGTCAGCAGTGAGAAAAGAATCTGGGTTTTATAAAAGTTTCCTGCCTTGGATATTCCATGATTTCTTACATCTGCATTGAAGAAGGGCAGACAACAGTATTGTCAAATGAATAACGGAATGAGAAAGTAGGGTTTCTACTGAAGATGTAGACTTACTTTCATCTTATGTAAAATGATTTGAAGTAAAGGTGTTGGAACCTGATGTCAAGTAATAAATGGCTATTAGTCAAAAGATTTAGAAAGAAGGAAATCATGCCTGTGTCCAAATCTGGTGATTCTCCTGCAAGGGACTTTTCTAGGAAATTTATGTAATAGCTTATACTATCAAAACTGCCTCGAGAGATTAATTTATCTCTATTTCACCTACCTAATGAAAAACATACTTTTAACTGTTTCTCCTGAGAATACGGCCACAGAACAGCCGGAGTCTCCTAAAATTAAGGTGAAAAGTTATCAAGATCTTACAGGATGTCCATCTTGCGGGTGGAGGAAAGGAGAAGAAATGAATGAATGGTTAAGAATGCTCCCGAGACAGGAGACTCTCCCGGCCAGCTGGCAGGACACAACCTCTAGAGGGAGCTGTGGAGCAGCACTTTGTTGTGAAGGGTATTGACAGAATGATAAATTCTGCTATGATCACTACTTGCTCAAGAGACCAAAGCTCTAGAGCTGGAGAGGAGACCTCAGAAGCCATCCAATCCAAAGCTGGAAAGGATAAGCATTTCTCCAAGGTCAGATGATAAAATGCTACTAGCCCTATGGCTCATGGTCTAACAGAAAAGACAAATGGTTCTCCCTCTGCCAAGAAAGAAAAAGTCTATGTTTCAGCTGCCCTGAAATACATAACTTTGCATGATAGCTCTTTCTTGTGCCAGATCCTGACTGGTAACTCCAACAAGCAGATTGTTTTTAGGACCAAGCCTAAGTCCCACATCCAACCTGAGAGCTACTAACATTGATAGCACAGCCAGCACTGAATAAATCTACAACTAACAGCATGATAATTACTTGGGTTAAAATGGCTCCCCTGTCGTTTTTTAATCAGATACAGGTTGAGCAACTATTGAGCAGGGCAGCGATTTATTGTGTTAAAGGGGAACCCAGTGCCCAGATTCTTTTCTTACTGCCGCGACAGAAATAAATTCCAGTAATGAAGCAAATACCTTAAAGTGTTACTGGGCAAGCTTTAAAAATGCAAGATAACGAGAACCACGTGTTAGAGACATGAAGAGAAATGCAAAATACAGTAAGGAAAACTAAATTTGCACTGAAATTCTTTATCATACAAATAAAAAGTAAATATATATATATGTGTGTGTGTATGTATATATATATGTATATATATAAATATATAAATACTGCAAAGAGTATTTTACAAAACAAAAGCAAGACACTGAGGGACAAAGGCAGCCAAAAATATATACAACAATTTTTTACTAAAAAAATATAAAAATTATTTATTATAACGTGGATAGACTTTCTTTAGTCTTACCATTAAAGACACACAGATATAGCAAAGGAAGCAAGAGTAGGAAAGGGAAAAGAGAGGAGTGAAATGAGCATTGAGAAGTTGCGCAAGCCCAAAGACAGTAAGACAGTTAGCAATCCACAATGAGTCTAATGAGCTGAAGAAACATACAACCCCCCCGCCTTTTTAGTTTGGAAATAATAGCATCGAACAACTATCATTTTCCATGGAAATATCTGCTCCAGGAAGAATCACTGGAGAGGGAAAAAGCAGCTTTTTTTCTGGGTTTCCGGCCTTGAAGTTTCTTCCTCAGCAACATGAATGAAGCCCAGAGAAGCTAGGGAAGTAAACTTATTCGCAAAGCCCTGGGGCTCTCAAAGAGGCTCTCCTGTTGCCAAAGTCCTGCTAACATGTGTACGAGGTGTTGAAATCACATTCTCATATGGAATTTAAATGGTTGTACTGGTAATAGGCTTATTGTATTTTTTCACCAGATACCTTGGAAACTGCTTGGAATGCACCTGCCCCATTTTTAAACACTTTCACCTAATAAAATGAGCAGGTTTTTAAATATGCTCTCACCTCACACTGATTGCTATTCAGTGTGCACAGGGCAGAAAAAACATTACCAACACAGATGGACACTCTTCTTATTAATATTAACACGTTTCCCTACCCTAATGACTAAAGTATGAAGCACTGTGAAGAGGGGTGACTGATGAGCATGCCTCAAATTACATTTGTGCATAATTTAACAACTAAGATGTATGATTTCTAATAACTTTCTTCACTTTAAACCAGCTGATTTTTTTGGGGGGGGCAGCAATTAGGGTTAAGTGACTTGCCCAGGGTCACACAGCTAGTAAGTGTCTGAGACCAGATTTGAACTTGGGTTCTCCTGACTCCAGGGCCAGTGCTGTAGTTCACTGTACCACATAGTTGCCCCAAAACAGCTGATTTTGAATATGAATAATAGCTTTCAGGATTTCTTCAAAATGCTTTTTCTTATAGTTTATTTAGAGTTGAAAGTAGCATTCAAATTGATTTTCAACATAATGACCACTGGTCCAAAGCAATTTTTTCAGGTTATCCCAGATTAAACTTGTTTGCATTTTTACTGCAACCACTTTTGAAATTCAGTTGTTTAGTAGGTGTTCTGTTTCTTGAACTATTAACTAGGTAAGATCACATATTTAGAACTGAAAAAGACCTCACAGACTGTCTATAATTAGGGAAACTGAGGCCCAAAGAGGTAAGTAACCTTCCCAAGTCACTCCAGGGCTCAATTTTTAGAGATTTTGAACTCTAGTGCTTGGAATCTTTCCATTGAAGGCATAGATATTCTCTTAAGTTATGTGCAAAAGGATGATTTAAGATCTTTTTAGTCGTTTGGTTTTTTTAATACAAGTTTGCTATCAAAGAATCTCTTACAAATTGAGTTTATTTTGCAGTTACATATGTAGAGCTGAAGATAATTCACTTATAGCACTGACTGCAAGCTGACATTTAGAAGCACAATTAATTAGTCAAAATAAATTTGTACTGAGAGTTCCCAAAAAAAAAAATTCTAGGAAGGTTTAAAAAAATATAATTCTAACACCTGGAATTGACTTTCAGAGCATCTCAACATTAGAAATTACCCATTCCTGGGAGAAAAAATGTGTTTTTGTTGCTCTATTTTCCTAAATATGCCAAGAGCTTAAATTGGCAGTATAGATGGGGAAAAGTAAGATAGAGATAAGTTCATAGGTCCCCAAATCTGGTATTTTTATATGACATGAGCATATTTAATCGACTGAATAATCTCATTGTGAAATACATAAATTACAGAAACATCTTTATATAGTTTCATTTTGTCAAGCAAATAAGGGCTGATAAATGATAGAGTGACTCCTAAAGTTAGTCTTAAATAAAAGTTACGTGGAGAAAAAAATGTTGAATCAATCTATTTTTTTAAAAAAACCCAAAGACTGTTGAAAATTGTCAGCACATTATATATTCACTTGCAAAAAACTGTAAAAGAACAAGAACTGTTCATCTTTTCACAGCCTCCTGAGAGTTTACTTGAAGAGCTTTTTAGGAGAGAGGAATTTGGGTCCTCATTAATTTTTCTCTAAGGCTTTGCTTTTATTTCCAAAAATGTATGGCCTGCTACAAGTCAGCTCCTCTGGACAGTTCACTACTGGTTCATTAAGTCAACCCAGTGGCACTCCCCTTGAAAAGCCCATGTCTGAGCCTGCTGCATTTAGGACCCAAATTTCTACTCTGTGTTTAAACTCTTTCGAACTGACCTAATATAATTTACAATACAATTTACAGAGCTGAAACACTCCCTGAATAAAGCACAGCAAGGCCTTGGCAAGATGTCATGCTCACAAGAGGTAGCCTTATGGGGGGGGGGGAGGAGATGGTGATGCTAGTGGAAAATTTAATCTGCTCTGGCAATAAAAGGCCAAAACTTTTTTAAAAGCATGGAGGATTATCCCATGGTTAAGCTGCTCTCTCCCAGGAAGCACCTTTTAAAAATAGACATAAATCTAGTGCCATTAGTTAGACAACAGTTCTCATTCAGCATTCTGACTGCAAACTGCAGGCTAAGGTTGTGCTTCCCCGGGCATACGCAGAGCTCAAACTTGTCTGACATGTAGTACTGAGCGCAAAGTTCTTCTGGATGGAAACAAGCTGCCCATTCCAGAGGAGCAGACAGTGATTCCATTGGGATGCACAAGCATCAAGCTTCGGAGGGACCCGGATTACCAGGGGCCAGAGGTCACTGCTACTCAAAATAACGTTTACAACAGCCCCGGGTTGCCACTGTTAAACTCTTCTTATGAAAACATAACAATTTTAAAGCTCTTTTAAAGAAAATGAATTAGAACCTTAAAAATTATTTCAATGACTATAACTGAACATGCCACTTTTTTACCCGTTCAATATGTTTTGCACAAGCTTCTGGTGCTTCACGCATCTAACAGGACCTGCACTCTACAGAAGAGAACTTGCAAAGTACAACTATACTGATAAACACAACTGACTATGCCTTAACATTTTTGCTGTTCTCTCAAGTCTGAACGCTCATCCAAGTGACAATGTTTGCATTTAATTTTCTTTTCACTGTATTAGTTAGGAATGCCAAACTACCAAACTTCTGGGCCTAAGAAATTTTCCTTTGTTATGACTTTTAAAGCAAGTCCCGATGCTGACAATAATGACCATGTTGAAAAATCTCTTTTAAAAAACCCTTACCTCTTTTTCATCTCTAACAGCTGGTTATTGAGTACAGATCTCTCGCCCTCCAGCTAAAAAGTAAATGAAAGAAAAACCATAGAAAGGTTAATTTTCATGATAAGCAGTTTCAAAGAAGATCAATTATTTATCCCATATGGCACATCCACAGCCTCCACTGGTATCTGCCAATAAAGGGACAAAAGCAACCAGTTTTCTCTGAAAAAACTGGGGTGACTAAAACATAAATCTGGTCGGTCCCTAAAATAGAGCCAAGTGACAATGCTGATTGCTTTATTAAGTGCCCAGAGCCTTTATAACTCACTCTTCACGAGCCCTGGGCTCAGTGAAGAGGCCGAGGGGTCTCGTCTCAGGTCCACCACCTGCATGACATTAGTCATTTACCTTTCTGGGCCTCACTTGCCATAACTCTAAAATGAGGGAACTGAAGTTTGCATGTGTCTTATCTAAGTACTAGACTATAAACTCCAGGACGAAAGGACAAGGGCCCAGCATGATGCTCTCCAAACAGTAGGTATTTAATAAATATTTGTTGAGTTAAACTGAATTGATTTTATACATTGAAGAAAGGTTTATCTGTGGCTTTACCACCAACAATTTCACACATGCCAATCTGAATTTACAAGCATTAAATAGCAAACAGAAGAATTTTAAAAAAGGTTTCTTACAAAGACTTCTACCAAAAGTCCAGAAATAATGCAAAAACAAATAAAATGTGAGGCTTTGAATTTCTCTAAATGAGTGAAAGTTTTCAATATAAAGAATAAGGACTCTTCAAACACTTTTGAATTTTTAGGCTACTAGCTGCTATTGATAGTTGAAAAAGTGTTTTCTAGAATTTCAGTTACAATGTTAAGCTTAACCAAATTTCAGTCCCATACATGCCTTACCATAACTTCATCATGTTGCCCGGGCATATGTATATAAAGTGCATTCACCAACACAGAAATATATGCGGTATGAGAGCAGATAAAATATACCTTTTCTCATCATATCATTCTTGCCTTCTTAGTTTTTTATAAATTTGGTGTAGTTACCTATATTTTAGAAATGAGATCTTCATCAGAGAAAACTGGCTGCAAAGATATTTCCCTCTTTTCCTACTTCTCTTCTAATTTTAAGTGAATTGGTTTTATCTGGGCAAAAACTTTGGTTTGATGCAACAAAATTATTCATTTCATGTCCTGTGAACCTTTCTATCTCTTTTGTTTAATGACGAAAAGCGTCCCTATCCACTAATCTCACAGGTAATTTCTTCTATATTCCACTAATGCTTATACCATTCTTTCTGCCCACTAAGTCATGTGCCTATTTTGTGCTCATCTTGGTAAATGCTGTGCGATGTTGATCCATACCTACTTTCTGCCAGACCACCTTCCAGTTTTCCAGTTTTTGTTGAATAGTAAGGTCTTGCCTCAATAGCTGAAATCTCTTAGTTACTGTGCATGTTTACTTCTGTAAATGTATTTCTGTAAATATCACATTCTTGACCTATTTCATTGCTCAACCTCTCTATCCCTTACATAGTACCCAAAAGCCCTCTAGTACAGTTTGAGATCTGGTACTACTAGGCCTCCTCCCTTCCCATTTTTTTCCTTCATTAATTCCCTTCATATTCTTGCCATTTTGTGCCTCCAGATGAACTGTTATTATTTTTCCTAACATCGTAAGAAATTCTTTGGTAGTTTGGTGTGGTACTGAATAAGCAAATTAATTAAGTAGTACTGTCATTTTTATTATGTTAGCTCAGCCTACCTATGAGCAATTAATTTGACATGTCTTTATTTGTGTGAAGTGTTTTGTAACTGTATTCATATAGTGCCTGTGTGTCTTGGCAGGTATAATTCCCAAGTATTTTACATTATCATCTGCAGCTATTTTAATTTTGTTTTTTTGCTTTTTGGTGAAGCAATTAGGGTTAAATGACTTGCCCAGGGTCACACAGCTAGTACATGTCAAGTGTCTGAGGCCGGATTTGAACTCAGGTCCTCCTGACTCCAAGGCTGGAGCTCTATCCACTGTGCCACCTGGCTGCCCCTGTAGTTATTTTAAATGGAATTTCTCTATGTCTTCCTGCTGGATTTTGTTGGTAATACACAGAAATGCTCATGATTTGTACGGATTTATTTTATATCCTGGCAACTTGGATGAGGTTGTTAATTGTTTTGATTAGTTGACTCTCTAGAGTTCTCTAAGAAACCATAATCTTCTCCACAAAAAGTGACAATTTTGTTTCCTCACTGCCTACGCTTCTCCTTCACTTTCTTTTTCTTATCTTACTGCTACAGCTAACATTTCCATTATGATAAATAAACAGTAAAGGTGATAACAAACATCATTGCTTCACCCCTAATCTTACTGGAAAGGCTTTTAGTTTATCGTGACTGCAGCTAATATCATGACTGCAGATAATTCTTGCTCTTGCTTTTAAGTAGACACTGATTATCATCTTAAGGAAAGCTCCATTTATTCTTGTGCTTTCTAGTATTTTTAATAGGAACAGGAGAAATTTTTCTCCAACTACTGAAATAATCACATGATTTTTGTTGTTTTTGTTAATATGGTAAATTACGCTTATAGTTTTCCTAATATTGAACCAGACATGCATTCCTGGTATACCTCCTGACAGTGTATAATCTTTGTGATATATTGCTGTAATCTCATTTCTAGTATTTTATTTAAAAATTTTGCATCAGTATTTGTTAGGGAAATTGGTCTATTTTGACCATCCTTGATTTAGGTATTAAGAACATATTTGTTTCATAGAAGGACTTTGGTAAGAGTCCCTCTTTACATATCTTTTTTTAATAAAATTTTTAAAATTCATTCTTAAATACAAAAAGAGGAAAAAAAAATTTCCACATGCACAGCAGAACACAGAGAGAGAATTCAACACAAAACCATGAATTTCAATTTCAGATTATTTACTTTTTTTGAAAACCTATGTAATAAATAGTTTTCAAAGCTATGTAGCTCTTCTATGCTTCCTTCTAAGTTTTCTTCTGTTCTCTGCTGTGCACTTATTATTTTTCTCTTCCACCCCACCTCACCCTGAAGAAGGCTACAATTAAACATGAACACACACACACACACACACACACACACACACACACACACAAAGATACAAAACCATACTATACAAACTTCTATTTATCATTCATTTCTTTCTCTGGAGGGGGAAAGCATCTTCCTTCATAGGTCCTTTGTAGTGGTTTGAGTATTTATGATAATCAAGATGAATCAGTCATTCAAAGTTGTTCTTAGGACAGTATTTCCATTACTATGTATACTGTTCTCTTGGTACTGCTCATTTCACTTCATTTTTTCACGCAGGTCTTTCCATGTTTTTCTAAACTCAGCCAGCTCATCATTTCTTGTAGCTCAGCAGTATTCCAACACAGTCATATGCCACAACTTGTTCAGCCACTCCACAATCTGAAGGACATCTATCATTGTAACCGATCTGATAGGTGTTTGATGGTATCTCAAAGATGTTTTCGTTTGCATTTCTCTAATCAATAATGATTTAGAGCATTTTTCATATGACTACATGTAGTTTTGATTTCTTCATCGAAAAATTGTCTATTCATATCCTTTGACCACTGGGGAATGAGTCATAAATCTGACAATTTCTTTACATTTTGAGAAATAAGAACTTTGTCTGAGAGACTACCTATGAAATTTTCCCCTTTAGTTTTCTGCTTTCCTTCTAATCTTGGCTATACTGGTTTTATTTGTACAAAAACTTTCAAATTTAATACATTCAAAGTTTTCCGTTGTACACCTCACACAATGTTCTCTTTTGTTTGTTCATAAATTGTTCTCTTATTCACGAGCCTGATAGATAATATGTTCCATTTTCTTCTAATTTTCTTGTATTTCCCTTCATATCTAGGTCATGTATCCATTTTGACCTTCTCTTAGCATATGATTTAAGACACTGTTCTATGCTCAATTACTGCCACACTGTTTTCCAGCTTTCCCAATAATTTTCTTAACCAAAACTTATCCCTAAAACTTAAATCTTGATATCTGTCAAAGACAAGACTACCACAATCTTTTGCCACTGTGTATCATATGTATACTTTAGTCCACTGATCTATTTTTCCATTTCTTAACGATTACTAAATAGTTTTAAATTTTACTGCCTTTGCCTTTTATAATTTGAGGTCTAATACTCCTGAACCTCCTTCCTTTACATTTTTTTCATTAGTTTCCTTGAAATTCTTAACCTCTTGTTCTTCCAAATGAATTTTATTATTTTTTTCTAACTCAGTGAAATTTTTTAGTAGTTTAATTGACATGGCATTGAATAGATTAGTCAGGAAAAATTGTCATTTTTATTATATTGGCTTTGTCTACACACGAACAATTAATATTTCTCCAATTATTTAAATCTGACCTCTACCATCTTCCCAGAATCCTCCTCTCTCTCATATATATACATACACACACACACACCCACACACACCAACACTTTGTGTAGTATTGGAATGAAATGCTCTTTAAATGTTTGGTAGAATTGACTTATAAATCCTTTCAGTTCTTGACGGTTTTGTCTTGCAAGCTTCATTTACAGCTTGTTCAATTCCTTTTTCTAAGATAGTTATTTATGCATGCTATTTCCTGTTCTGTTAGTCTGGGCAATTTTGTTTTTGTAAATATCCATTCATTTCATTCAGATTGTCCATTTTACTGGCATATAGTTGGGCAAAAGAGCTTCTAATTGCTTTTATTTTATCTTCATTGGTTGTGAAATTCACCTTTTTCATTTCTGATAACTGACAATTTGGTTTGCTTCCTTGCTTTTTCAAAAAATCAAATCAGCCAATGGTTTATCTATTTTATTGGGTTTTTAAAAATAGCTCTTAATTTTATTAGCTTAATTTTTTTACTTTCACTTTTTAATCTCTGTTTTATTTCTCTATTTTTATTTATTTATGTATTTTTATTTTTTTTTATTTCTCTATTCTTGTGTTCAATTGGGGATTTGAAATTCATTGGTTTTCTAGGCTTAAATTTTAGTTGTATGCCCAATTTGCTGATTTGCTCT